TGATATATTCACACTTTCTTTTTTATATCGGATAAAAATTGTGATCTCTAAAGGGACCACAAGCCAAAAACGTGATTTTTTGTTCAATCAAGGGTGCATAACCTGGATATACCAGATGTTTACACTATTTGCATACATGGGGCGGGACCTTTGTCCATCAGTTTTGGTCAGATTTTCACAAAATTCGAAATTAACCATCATTAGGGTGTAACAGTGATATATTTAAACGTTTTTTTAAAAAAATCGGAATAAAATTGTGACCTCTATATATTTCAAGTTTCGTTGAAATCGGATAAACATTGTGACCTACAGAGTGTCCACAAACAATTGTGGGCAGACGGACAGTGGTGACAACAATAAAAAGTGTCTATATGGACTCAATGATGTGTCTCGAAAGTGGCATCTTAAGAGTTTGCAATGAACTGATCAATTTAAAATGTAAACAAAGTGAGATAGACTTTGGGCTGTCATGGATAAATTACAGAACAGTTTTAAAATAGGTAAAAGGGCAGATGAGGAATTTAGTTACATAGGTTTACAAGTTAATCACAGATTGGACTCAAATGTCGTTAGTCAGTCGTCTTATGTAGAAGAACTCATACCTATTGTTGTTTCGCCAAATCATACTTCTCAGAAATCTGAATCGCTTAATCAAAATGAACTGACACAGTTGCGTAGTGCTGTTGGACAGATACTGTGGGTTACCAACCAAATGCGCCCTGATGCAAGTTTCGATGCACTTGAATTAAGCATAACCGTTAAAGATCCAAAAGTTCAAGATCTTCTTCGCACCAATAACTCATGAAGAAAATTTGATATGATGATGTATCAATCAAGTTTCCACAAATTGACTTAACTAATGCTTAACTTGGTGTGTATTGAGATGCATCATACGCGAATTTATGTGACAGAGTATCAAGTGCTGCTGGATACATCATATTCCTTATTGACTCTTTTGGTAAATGTTGCCCCCTTAGATGGAAATCACACAAAATACACAATGTACTTATTGTGATAAGTACATTGGCTGCAAAAACTCTATCCATGGTAGAAGTCATAGACTCTGCTTATTTCTTAGAATGTCTGTACAGTGAAATTTTGTATGGTGTGAAACAGAATAGACTTCGAATCGAAATATTTATGGACAATAAATCCTTGTTCGAGAATATACATTCAACCAAACTTGTCAATGAAAAAATGTTAAGTAATGGAGACATTTCTAAATAATTTGGGTTGAAGCTTGCCATCAATTATCGGACTGTCTTACAAAACATGGCGCATCCAATAAATCCCTTATAAACATTCTTCAACGTGGCAGTTTTGAATAGATTCTATGACCAGCGGCTGCCAGGCAGTATACGCCCACATTTTCGAGAGATGGATAGAAAACAAGCTAAACGAAAGTGATTTTTCCTACAATCAAGGGCCATAATTCAGGAAATTACAATTCGATATGCGCAAATATCAAAAGGAACCAAGATCTTTGAGTTATAAACTTACATTTCGAGTTTCAACAAAATCGGATAAAAATTGTGTCCTCTATAGGGTCCACAACCTTGATATACCATATTTTTACGCTATTTGAGAACAAGGGACGGCCATTTTGTCTGTCAGTTTTGGGCCAATTTTCACGAAATTCGAACTCAGTCGTCCTTAGGGTGTAACGGTGATATAATAATACGTTTTTTTAAATCGGATAAAAATTATGACCTCTATAGGGTCCACAAGCTAAAAACGTGATTTTTCGTACAATCAGGGGCTATAATTCAGGAAGTTACGGTCCGATATGTGCGAATATCCAAAGGAACCGAGATCTTTGGGTTATAAACTTACATTTCAAGTTTCAACAAAATCGGATAAAAATTGTGACCTCTATAGGGTCCACAACCTTGATATACCATATTTTTACGCTATTTGAGAACGAACGGCGTCCATTTTGTCTGTCAGTTTTGGGCCGATTTTCACGAAATTCGATCTCAACCGTCCTTAGGGTTTAATACTGATATAATAAAACGTTTTTTTAAATTGGATAAAAATTATGACCTCTATATGGTCCACAAGCTAAAAACGCGATTTGTCATACAATAAGGGGCCATAATTCATGAAGTTACGGTCCGATGTGCGCAAATATTGAAAAGAACCGAGATCTTTGTGTTATAAACTAACATTTCAAGTTTCAACAAAATCGGATAAAAATTGTGACCTCTACAGTGTTCACAAGACAAAAACGTGATTTTTCGTACAATCAGGGGCCATAATCCATGAAGTTACGGTCCGATAGATGCCAATATCGAAAGGAACCGAGATCTTAGGGTGATAAACCTATATTTGACCTGTAGACTGTTCACAAACGGACGGACTGACAGGGGCGACGACAATATACGGCCACATGAAAATGTGGGCGTATAAAAATGACTAGTGTTTTGAGATAAACTGAATTAGTGTTAATGTGTTTTTGTTTTTCTAAGTTTACTTTTAATTTTGACTATCCACTGGGTGAACAGATGTTTCGCTTCCATTTATTTGTATTACTTTCTGTAATGACATTCTTTAATTTTTTTCTTTAAAGAAAAAAGGGGAGTGTGTACCTGTGAAGTAATTCATGGGACATCTTTCTGTTTGGCTTATTGCTCCAGAATGGTCTGTAACAGGAAATGACTGTGGGGTTTGTTGGGAAGGATATAAGTTTTAATGATGGACCATGCGGTTTCAGATTGTAGTGTGGTATAATAAAATTATGAATTACAGAGTGTTCAGTGATTTAACACAGTCGACAGTTTCTTTCGAAGAGAAATAAATATTTTGATAGTTGAATTCCGTTTATATAGTGGCTTCATATACGGCATTTAAAATATACAAGCATGCCTATCGTATATCATTATTTCATAATTATATTATCACCACCGGTCGAAAACATAAGAACAAGTTGAATAGTGACGATTCTTGAGTGAGAAAACAGTTCGCCATTTGTATCATATTACTATCGCCAAAATGATCTAAAAGTGAACGACGGGTTGTAGGCATCTCTTACAAAATTAAGTGAAATTTATATCATTCTATCAGGGATTTAGAATCTGATACCTTTACAGTACCTCAAAATAACAATAGGCCTATTGTACACGTAACACATAAATTTATAGAAAATTGACAATCCTTGGATGAGATTTGATGTGTGAATACTGAAAATATACTGTTCAGTACGTTGTTCAAATAGGGCCAAAATAAAAATGTTATGTTTCCGGTAACCCGACCGACCCATTACAAAACCTGCAGACTCAATTTTTTTTTTAGTGTCAAGGGAAATAAAAAACTTTTTTGTTCAACGAGTGACCGTTCAAAATACTCTAAGCCTACCGGATTCATGAAAATGGCTTTATTATTTGTTGTTATAAATGAATATAAATGTCATCGTTCTTTGAATCTGCATTTAACGATCGGAATAAGCCAGTACTGTACAGCGAAGGATTATTAAGAACTGTCATACTGTTGACGCGAGATTGCTAACTGAGGTGAAAATCGAGACTACGGGTTTCATATAGATTTAACACTGCACATCCCGAAAAGCCATAATCCTCACAACCTTCGTTCTAATAAGTAACGGCACGCAATTTGACAAAAACAAGCTAACGTATATTTCAAACAGGTGGATAAGATCTGATCGATTAGTATTTAAAACAAGACGAATAAATTTTTTACGGACCTATATCGTGCGATGGCACAATATGATTTTTTAAGTTTTCATCGCAAGTTCTTTCCCTTGAACAAAATGGCCTCCCTGCGCTATTTTTTTTTTTTTAGCAAGTTCTTTCCCTTGAACAAAATGGCCTCCCTGCGCTATTTTTTTTTTTTTAGCAAAGAACGATTAAAAAGTCCATTTGCCCCCTAAGAGAATATTTAAATCATAATCTAGCCACTGATACATTTTAAACAATTATCCAAGAATTCCATCCACCAATCTATTCATGCTTCATGTTCCTCGGCGCCGACTCAACCTAACATAAAATTGAAGATTTTCGCACAGAATATACGGTACATCTACTAGATCTAACAATGTAACATTAAAAAAAAAACACTCCAAAAAAAACCTACATACCAGCACCAACCTTACCCTATTTTCCATCTGTTACAGGAAACAGAACCCTTTTTTTTTTGGCCTAGACTAAATTCACCCAAAATAAAATCTGATCTTATTAAATCCAAACTTTGCTAATCTATTATGTAAAGACATATTTTTAAAGTTGTTGTATATTGTATTGTATATATCAGTAATTGTCTTATAATTAGCCTAGCTGAGACATAAAAGTGTTAGATGTCTTTTTTATCACACATTTTTGGAAGATAAAATATTCCAGTTGGCAGAAAAAATATGAACATTTTTTTATATATAAATATTATCATCCATTTTGGCGGAAAAAAACTGAAAGCCAGTGTGAGCCCTGGTTTTTGTGTTCCAGTCTTGACCAAACAAATTGCTTATTGCTCTGCTTACCTTGAGCAGAAAATGCTCATTATCGAACTTAGTCAAGGTATTGGTGTAATGAAACTATACACCAAATTTCATCACTCTCACCTAATTAGAACTAAAGTTATTGTGTCCAAAAGCATCAACCAATCAAATTGAATATCTAGGCTTACATTAAGAAAAAAATTCTCATCTTCGAACTGCATCAAGACATTCACCTAATAAACACCTAGACCAAGTTTTGAACATTCTAGCTCAATTAGAAGGAAAGTTATTGTGTCCCAAAAGTGTGACGGACAGACAGACGAACCCATTTTAATGGTACCCTTCTTTCTTCAAAAGGCAGGGGACAAAAAGATTCTACATGTGCCGATTGTCTGACACACAATTAGTTCTCCTGCAATATTCTGCAGGAGTGTTTAGTGGGATTAGGTCTAATCAATGAATCAATGCGAGTATGACTGCAGTACTGCATAAACTATAAACAATTGGTGTTGTATCTCCAATTCTGAATTTAAATATAACAGATTCTAGTTACCTGGTTCATGCTTTCTAATCTCTGTAAATACTGCGCCAATCCCTGTCCTGATGGATCTAGAGGTGGCCATGTTGGATCGTCCTCTATTTCTTTCTCAATAACGGTATAGTCATAATCTGATGCTTTACAACAAGTACAGCTTCCTTTACACTTTCTCACAATTAATACATTATCAATAAGGAACATCTGACAAAATAAAAACAAATAGACTAAAAAAAAATCATGATTACAAAGAGAAGAAGGTAATTTAGAATGTCATCTTATTGTGCGGTGGTATTTCAAAGAAGAGGGATCTCCATCAATTTCAATAGCCATAAAGACCTGAGCAATCTTTTCTTGAAAATACACTGACCATTGGGCATCCAGAACAAAATATCAAATATAATCTATGTACTAATTGTAGCACAAATTAGAAATTTCCTCAATTCTGATTGGTGAATGGACAATAAACCCCCTCTAAATTATCAACGCAAATTACAGCGTATAATTACTACAGTGCCATTTTTTCTATTTTTGTGCTCAATGATCTTCCTCAACTCAAATCTTTATTGGCAAAAATCTTCTAGAAATTCTGCACACATGACTATCACACCAATTTCAAACATCATCTTTTATGAAAGCACATTTCTGAAAAACATAAAACAGTAGAAAATCAGTCATAAATGAATAATAACCGTTTTCAGGTATCCAATTATATTCGTAACTTGGCAGTGACAGTATGGACAGATTTGTTTTCTTTTTTTTTGGTAGGCTAGCTTCACTCACCAATTTTTACTTAATCAGGTGGATATTTTTTTAAATCACGCTTTGATCAAAGTCTGACTAGCATGATCTACCTAATAATAAGTCATTAGTCACAAGAAATCGCTTGAAAATACAATGAGGGAGTCAAAAATAGCAGCTGAAAGACAGGTTGACAACACATAAGAACAGTATACATAGCAACCACTACAATCTTAGGCTCGACATCACTGTCATAGTTTTATAGGGTATTTTTAGGATGTAACTGCAATTGTGTGAACAAGAACTAGCTACAACATTGTGATAACAGTCTGCAAATAAAAAATTAAAGGCTGAAAACTTACATGAAACTCCCGAAGCAAAGTCATCTTTGTTGCCAAGAGTTACTCCTCTTTTAGTCTCGGATAGCAGGCCGGAATTATTTCAATTACCGATGACACTCATCTCTTAATACCGCAATAAGACTAATTTTCCGTTCTTTTAAAAATCTTCAAACTTTAAAAAAAAAATTTTTTGGGCAATATCCGACAATTTTTTTCATAATTCATTTACCAGCAACTCGAGACTCCAGCATTTTAAATTTGCAGGAAAGCAAGGACGGTCAAATCTATTCAGAATATTTTGAAAAATGAACGCCAGCACATGGTCAAATAACGACTTTTTAAAATGGGTGTAAAAATGTTTACTAAATAGTTCTGAAGGAAATCCCTAAATATTTGAGCTACAATATCGATAAACACGTTCCTGTTTCGTATTTATCAGGGGTTTATTGTCCATTTAAAAATGCTTGAATTATCCCAAAGCATCAACCAATCAAATTGCTTATCTCTGCTTACCTTAAGCAGAAAATGCTCATCTTCGAACTCCATCAAGGCATTGACCTAATAAATACCTACACCTAGTTTGAACATTCTAGCTCAATTAGAAAGAGAGTTATTGTGTCCCATAAAGTGTGACGGACGGACAGACAGACAGACGGACGGAAGAACCCATTTTAATAGTCTCCTGCTTTCTTCAAAAGGCGGGGGACAAATATGATGGCAATAAAAAGTAGGAGATGAAATAAGTGGACCCTATATCAAAGTGTCAAGTAGGGGTTGATTTTCCTTGAAACATGGCAAAAGTATGTTTTTCAGATGATCACTCATAATACTTAGTTTACCTAGTATATGTATGGAACTCACTGTTAAAGCTATAATGACAGTACTATAACTCAGTTCATAGAGTAATGAGACAAAATTAGAACATTTGGGTGGACCGCATGCAGAAACTTCCTAGGAAAAAGGACATTTTTAACACAAAATAGGAATGGGAAGGGGATGCTTGCCTTAACATGGAAAAGTTGGACATTTGACAAAGAGCTATATGGGTCATTACGTCAAGTGGGCCAGGGGTGGGAAATTGACCAACTCAAAAAAAATCTGCAAAACAATATATGGTATTGTACATGTAAAACTAGAACCTGTGCAAAAATTGACTGAGATACGGCATTTGAGTTTCATGTGTTACCCATAAGTTTTCGAAACAAAATATGTATCAATAATTTATTCAAGTTTCAGTTATCTTATTTTTTACCTTTCTATTGAAGATATACAGCTCAAATTTGGTTTTAAAGACCTTTTTGTGTAGATTACGAATCTGCAATCAGATTATAGGTGAGTGGTAAGGTTTGCATGCTACTTGGCCATAAAAGCCATATTCTCTGGATTTTGTAGATTAAAGACCCAAATTTTGGTTTATCCAGAGATGGCCGATAGTATTACATAACAAACATGTGAAAACGCATTAGTCTTCACTAGATTCCCAGAAAATTGGCCTCGAATATGGTTTTAGACACAAATTTTCGAAAATTGCCTTGTATTTACGAGCCGATAGAACCCGGTAGATGAGCACCTAAAAACCTGAAACTTGGTGTAATTATAGTTTCTATTAATGTCTCCAACATATGTTAAAGCCATTCTTGTCCCATGCCATCTTGATATTTTTTCGATTTTTTAAAGATCTGTGTTTTGGGTCAATCTATATCAATTATCTTATTTACGAGACAATTGAACCCAGTAGATGAGCACCTAAAAATCTGAAACTTGGTGGGATTATAGTTTGTACTAATGTCTCTAACATAATGTTAAAACCATTCTTGTCCTATGCCATCTCAGAATATGATGAAATACCCGTATATTGTTGGGCTCTAGGTGATAATGGAAATGAAAAGAATGCCGACTTCAGAACAAGCAACTTATAACATTAGGTTTAGCATGACCAATCCTCTTTAAAGTGTCAGATAATAGGGGAATGGATGGTTAAGACGTTTGATTTTGGAATTAATATACCTGAAATCAACAACAACATGTTTTTCATTAGTACCTTTCTTAGGTATATATATAAAATTGGTTGAGTAGGTCTGATATGCAAAGTTTTAGCACTTGTGTTATCAATTGGTATAATGGCTTTATTTCTTTCCAGCTTAAAGGACAATATTGGTGCCAGTCATTATCACACTACAACTTTGGTCTTGGAAGGAATTATTAGTGAGCAGAAATTCGGCCATGTATCTGTTATCACTCGTCACATCAGTCAGTTATATAGAGGTATGACTCGTGTTTTCCTTTGGCGTTCGTCACTTCTGATTCAGGAAACCTGTATTACTCAGCTATCGTAGCAATGATCTCTGTGTTAAAATTATATTTGGAACGTGTTTAATTAGTTCTATCACATATGTGATAATGACTGACATCAATATTGTCCATAAACAAAATTGTTGAAGGACACATATCAGACATATGACTGCCACAATACATGACAACTTCACGATTCCTAAATAAAGGAGGAACTTTACAATGCGCAGTGATGTATCGACAATGTTTAGGTCTCACATATACACTATGAGCGGTTAAAAATGGAATGGTTGTAGCCTTACAATGAAATACATTATAACGAAAACTAAGACTTCCATTCAAATCAGCTAAAGTTTCTTGACCAATGATTATATCAATTTCGATTAAATCAGCAGGAATAAAAGCTTGAAGGGTAAACCTAACATTTTGAATATGCACATCAAACTTAATAGAATATTTACATAAAAAGTAGATTGCCATTACCAAGTCTAAAGCTAAGCGGATTTGACAACAAATGAACAGGCAAACCTCTTAAATTAGTTGAAGATTGAATAAGTAAAGACGAAATGATCGACTCTGATGAACCACTATCAATATTGACTAGGTGAATGAGAATAATCATGTCTTGATCTATCTCCAGGGTAGTTGCTATGAGACCCGGGACTAGGTGAATAAGGGCGTCGTGTGGGTGGAAGTGATTGATCATGAGCATAAGAAGAATGATTAGAATTTGGATGTTTGGATTGGTGTCTGACATGATCATCTGATGCTACATGCAACGTAAGTTCATCTAATTCTCTGCGTAATGAGGAAAGATCATCTGTATCAGATGTATAGAAGAATACCTCCTTAATAGGATTTATGGTTGCAGGGTTATTTATATCAAAGAAACACTGAACTTTTGTTGTGATGTCATTCAAAGTAGTTGTGTCATTCGTTGACAGTGGACAGTTTTTGTTATTACAACAGCTTGAGAAATTACTTTCGGTTTATTTTTTAAATTGCTTAATCGTTTGGTTTAGTACAAAGAATATCTCTGAAACGCTTTCGTTAGGCAAGAACATGATACTAGCAGTAGTTTCATTTTATTTTTACAAGGTTCTTAAAACAATTGTTGAGTTGCCTAACGTGCGCATTTCTAAATTCAATTTCTTGTTCCAGCTTTCTTTTATGTTTCGTAAAAAAGTAGCCTTGATTATCCCGGCCTGTCCATCAGATGTAGAATGACCGCTAGACTAATTTCAAAACCATCTTTCAGTGTATGATTTATAGATGGTTAAATGGTCATAGCTTATTAAGTACAACATGACCGTTTATTTAGTGACTATAAATGTGCGAAACTGATTTAAGGCTTGGTATATATATAAATATTGTGGTGTAATTGTCGAGATATTTGGAGATATTTATTTATGGTGGGTCACCACCCTACCACCATGTGGTATTGGGGTGTATAGGCCACGATGGCCTGAATTGTTTATGACAATCAGACGGGCTAATTAAAAACAGCCATCTTACATTTCACTCCATCCCAGAATTCCATCTAGGATCAAAGCCTTTTATTAATCAAGGGAAGTAACTCAATTAACACAAAGAACTCAAGAAGGCTTCAGACACTATTCCTTAAATTATTTTGAATAAGTTCGTTTAGTAAAGGAGTATATGACAATTAGTACAAATTATAATTAAACCAAGTTTCAGATTTTTAGGTGCTCATCTACTAGGGAATCTAGTAAAGACTGATGCGTTTTCATATGTTTCTTATGTGGTACTATATCTATTACTTTGTAGCACTACAAAATCCATAAAATATACAATTACACCATTTTTTTTTTCCCGTTTTCATGGCCAAGTAGCATGCGAACCCTACCACTCACCTATAATCTGATTCCAGATTCGTAACCTACACAAAAAGTTCTTTAAGACTACCAAATTTGAGCTGTATATCTTCAATAGAAAGGTAAAACAAAATATCTGAAACTTGAGTAAATTATTGCTACATATTTTGTTTCAAAAACTGATCGGTAACTCATGAAACTCAAATGCCCGTATCTCAGTCAATTTTTAAGCTACAGACAAATTTTGCACAATTTCTAGTTTTTACATGTACAATAACATATATTTTTTCCAGATTTTTTCGAGGGGGTAAATTTCCCAAATTTCTGAAAATTGACCCACTTGACATGGAATGACCCATATACATACATACCTCTAATAATAATGAAACAGCAAAATTAGCAACGCCTATTCCCACAAATATCAGACGAAACGTAATTTCTGGAAATGGACTTAACTATAAAAAAAAAATATAATCACAACAAATAACAAATAGATTATATACTTTTGTTTTAAATTATATAAGCCATGTTACATTCAGATTAACAGCAAGATTAAAGTGCATCTTATTTACAAGATTTACAATCATCCATTATAAAAATATTGTGCTTCATTGTCTCAGTAAATTAATATGTTTCAATCATTAATTTTCATTATGAATTATTAACTTTGACTCTCAATAATTTATTAGAAAATATTTTGAAAATGATACAAACTAAGCCTACCTCCATTACTCCAGCAAAGTAGTCTGTAGGATAAATAGTAAGCCATAGCGACACGGCAAAACATATCAACAAATTCATCAAAAAAAGATCTGATAAAAAAATACAGTGAAAATTAGCCAAGTTCGGTATAATTGTAAGATAACAAGTCGATGATCGAGCTCATGTACACAGATTACATATTTCCAGATAAGTAGGCAATTTGTATGTCTATAATTAAATTTTTCCTGATTATTAGAAATATCACTTTAAAAGACAGGCATTAGTATGAAATATTCATGTTATTTAAATGATACACTTACAATTTGAGAAGATAGTTTTTCTAAATGGTGCTCCTTTAGCGAAAGCTACAGCTAAAGCTACATATTGATAAGATGATACAAGAAATACGGCCGTATTCTCATGACTTGCATAATCATAATCATCATTCTCTTCAAACTCTTTAAACCTAAACAATAATATACATATCATCTTTATCCAGTTTGTTGTGCAGAATGAAACCTCATAGTTAAAAAACGCACTTTAGTCAACTGTCCAATAATTGAAGTATAGATGCCATGGATGTAGGAAATATGGAAAGATTCGTTTATTTATGCCCGCAAAATTTAATAAAGGGACAAACATAATCAAATAGGGTAATATACAAACTCAAATTCTTAGAAATGTACTTACATTTGGATTCACCTTTGTTTTATGGAAATATTATGTTCATGTTTTTAAATTTGTGTAACTATTGAATAACCATTGCAAGCCATGTTGTGCCCAGATAAATGATGAACAAAACATGCTCCATCAACAGTGATTTCAAAAGTCAACAGATTAAAAAGATCTTGTATGTCTCTAAACAGTTTCCCATATATATCTGACCCTGTAAAACTATATAAATAACTCACCAGGGTTGTGTTGCTACATACAAATAACTAAACAATTGGAAGATTATCTGTATAGCTGCTTGTGATATCAATGATAATATTGGTCCTGGACTTACTAAACTAGAAGGTGGTAAATCTTTAACTAGTTGTCCATATGGTGCAGTATAACCGACTAAAATTTAACAAAATACTCTATAAATACATAAAAAACCATGTCATACTGAAATGAGGGCTCTGTAGAATGAGCTTATGAATAAGGTCATCACAGTTTTACTCATTTATTTGTGCTTTCAACAGATAATACAGTATAACAACTTTCTACATGCTCAGTCGTCTTGACACATTTAGCTAATTCTTCAGCATGTGAAGTTAGATAACATGATGTAACCATTACCGTATTCCTCTGTGTATTAGGCGCATGAGTAGATAAGGCACAGGGTGAGTTACGGGAAAAAAAAATAAAAGTGCATGGTTTAGGCTTACCCTTCTACAACGCATTGTGAAACACATGCCATGCCATACATGTCCCAATTACACCTGCGAGCTCCAGTAACTAGGTGAAACTCTAAAACGTTGAACGTAGTGATGGGATTTCAAAATTTTTGTCGGACATTTTTACCGAAAATAAAGGGGCATAACTCTTATTATCTAAGCAGGCGGTTTCAGACCACAATTAAAAATCATGTGTCAACAAAATTATTCAAATTCGTACGTAATAAAAAAAAATAGGTGCGCCTCGTTATTTTTCATATTTAATTCCCGTACGGTATTTAAATTTATGTCAGTAATATTCCTACAAAATTATGTGTTGTTGTAATACGATTGAATAAAAGCGGGCTGACTACTGTCGATCGGTACTTTTGTTGATATTCACCTCCAAAATTACCGTATTTTTCGGGGTTCAAGTCGATACTTTTTCAGCAGAAGTCCGACATTCGTCTTATACTCCGTTTTGACTTCTATACGGATGGAGGTTAAAAAAAAAAGACATCCCGAAAATATTTTGCCAGTGACCGTCACTCAACGATACCGAGCCAGTGACATCATCTGCTAAATAATAGCACTCGCACACGCTATCGTGTAAAACAATTAACTACTTACATGTACACTATTCCAATCGAAATATTTGTTGACATTTCTCAGCTTGTTTATTTCTTTTTAAACATAAACCCCATTCAAAATATTATCATAAACCCGAGAATATTCCATCAAAATAGAATCTTTCCTCGGACGTAATAATTGTTACGTTTACATCTCTTGTAATTTCACGCGTTTCGCAAGATTTCTACTTTAGTTTTCGATTATTGTATTATAACCACGTGTGTGTGTGTGTAAAATAGCTTTATTTAACGTCCGCTTCCACCGAAGTGATATCGCAGACAAATTAACGGATATATTGATTAATAAGGTAACGTGATAATTGTCATGTTTACATCTCTTGTAATTTCACGAGTATACGGTACACGGAATAGCAGAAAATGTTGACATCTTTTTTATGCACGAAATAACAGAAATATGGGCGATAATTATTGATATATTTTAACTGTATCTAAAACTTTATTGACAAATATGGACGTATTTTAACCATATATAAAACATTATTGGCAAATTTAAATGAACACAAAACGGAACAGTATTGTAGCGTCACTGGGTCGACATGTGTTGATTCTCGGGCAGTTATTTCTTGAAATTACGACTTCAGTGTCCACACGGGAAAAGCCTGGATTTGCTTAACATTATGCAGGCCTTCACGTAAAAGGAGCGCTCTCGCTCTCCTGGACGCGCCTGGATGTCGCTTTTTAAAGCTCTCCTCAATGTCTAAATTGACTCCCCTCAAAGTAAATAATCAGGAAAAATATACCGGTAACGAAAAATACTGTCAATATCAACAATCAATTTGCTTGTCGGCTACAATAAGTTATAACAGTCACACCTTAGTGAGAATCGGCCATCCGGTTCATAATCCGAGTAATTAGCACATTTAACGGTAATTTTGATAATTCAGCAAAAAAAACAATTCAAGCTTGCTGGTTATTTATAACAGGTCCAGTAAGTTTCCTTTGTAATAATACACCACGTGGCGAAAGAAGTCATCTCTTGGGATTCGTGCCCCGTCTTCGACGCTCGCTCGATCCGTAAAAATTCTAGGTAGATATTAAAATAATAATTGAATAATACATTTTATGGTTTCACTGACCCGTTGTTAGTTAAATTTAAATAGTCATTGAATAATCCCTGATAGAACACCGGATATCCCGAGAAACAGATATTAACAATATATTTTTCCGTCAGCATGTCCTATGCTTTCAGATTCCCGATAACAGGTGACATGCATCGATTGGAATTAGGTCAATAAACCAGCATTGCTAGATTTAGTTTTAAATAGCGCTTTAGTTGTATTCTTTTTTATTTTATACACATGCTGACAGGGAGTTATTCTTAAAAATATTGTTCTTATTAATTAAGGCTATAGCATAGTCGTACGGAATTTTATTTTATATAAAGCAATTTCAATTATGGTTGTCACGTGATCATTGTGCTGCTTGTCTTTCATCCAACGAATGAATAAAAACTTTGCAAGTTATGTGATAGACATAAAAAAATAATTTGTGTTTTAAATATCAAGAAATTCCATGGTGTCGTATCAGCTTATTTTGGCTATTGCATTTTCTGATACTGGCTGTAGTAGAAAAATCCTATCCATTTATCCATCAAATAAACGAAGACAGTAATCTTTTCAGGAATATTACTTGATTGACTTGAACTTCTTGAAGTCTGGTTATATTAAAGTTAACGGGAGCTTCGAATTATCCTATTTCTTACCGGGACCGCATTTGACCCAATTCTGGCCAGTTGGTTTCAAAATAGATTAAAATTTCTGGTCTTTATCGCAAATGCTAATAAAGCTCTCCTCAAGAGATTCAGGTGAGTTTTCTCAGGAGAGCGATTTACCCTTTTTCCAATTTCAGGATTCTCCAGGAATTTATTCACGTAAAGGCCTGATTATGTATTAGATGCACCCATTCTAGAAACTAAAATATTTGGTAAAAAAAGTGCACCTAATACACTTAAGAATACAGTAAGCCTTTCTGTCCCAAATATGTGTAGTAAACTTTATTCAGATTTAATACTATGTTGTAAATTGGTCAAATTTCATATAAATGGTGGAACTATGATCTACCAAATGTGCACTGAACAGGCGGCAGTTAGAGGCAGTTCCAATAATGAGACAAGTGACTTTATTCAATATCTTAAAACAAAAAATGTTTTAGCAGTACATTTAAGTTTTACATTATCTAAACAATTACTGCCGCTTATAAAATTTTAATAAAAGTAAACAAAAAACTTACAGGTAACAGATAAGGTTGTGATTAAGAAGAGGTCAATATATAAAAACTCTGCATCAGTGAGGTTAGCACCATTCCAATATAATATTAATACTGATACAAACTGGGTTAAACTGTATAGCGCCATATATTTAAATATTCCAAATGATGTTACCAACGCACATCTACCTTCACTGAAATACATACCAATAGTAATCAAATATTAGAACATATCGTTGCCAGACAATAAATCAACAAACAACAGAGGATTGTTGAGAATCAGAATATGGATGAAACCAGCGGCTGCCAGGCAGGAACGCCCACATTTTGCAACAGATGGATAGAGAACAAGCTAAAAACAAAAAAAAATTTTGTACAATCAGGGGCCATAATCCAGAAAGTTATGGTCTGAAATACGCAAATATCAAAAGGGACTCAGATTTTTGGAATATAAAGATATGTTTTTTATTTTATACACATGCTGACAGGGAGTTATTCTTAAAAATATTGTTCTTATTAATTAAGGCTATAGCATAGTCGTACGGAATTTTATTTTATATAAAGCAATTTCAATTATGGTTGTCACGTGATCATTGTGCTGCTTGTCTTTCATCCAACGAATGAATAAAAACTTTCCAAGTTATGTGATAGACATAAAAAATAATTTGTGTTTTAAATATCAAGAAATTCCATGGTGTCGTATCAGCTTATTTTGGCTATTGCATTTTCTGATACTGGCTATAGTAGAAAAATCCTATCCATTTATCCATCATGAAAACCGGATAAAAATAACCTTTGTATTACACACTTATACAGAATTTGCGTAGAAAGAGCGGCCATTTTGTCAGGCACTTTTATTTCGATTTTCCCGAAACAGTTTTTAAAATTGGAAAAAAAATTGTGACCTCTAGAGAATCCACAAGCTAAAAATGCAATTTTTCGACCAATCAGGGGCCATAATCCAGGAAGTTATGTTCGGATACGTGTGATTATCAAAAGGAACCAAGATCTTTATGTTAAAAACATATATTTAAAGTTTCATCCAAATCGGATAAAAACTGTGGTCTCTAGAGGGTCCACAACCTTGATATACCATATTTTTACACTATTTGTGTACAAGGGGCGGCCATTATGTTTGTCAGCTTTTGTCCGATTTTCACGAAATTCGAACTCAACCATCATTAGTGTATAACTGTGATATATTTACACGTTTTTTTTTTTTAAATCAGATAAAAATTGTGACATCTATAGGGACCACAAGCTCAAAACACAATTTTTCTGACAATCAAGGGCCATAATTCAGGAAGTTACGATCTGATATGCACGAATATCGAAAGGAACCAAGATCTTTGGGTTATAAACAGGAATTTCAAGGTTCATCAAAATCGGATAAAAATTGTGACCTTTAGGAGGTCCACAACCTTGATATACCAGATGTTTACACTATTTGCACACAAGGGGCGGCCATTTTGTCCTAAGTTTTGGTCCGATTTTCACGAAATTCGAACTCAACCATCATTAGGGTAAAACGGTGATATACCAAAACATTTTTTTAAATTGGATAAAAATTGTGACCTCTAGAGGGATCACAAGCTAAAAACTTGATTTTTCGTACAATCACAGGCCTTAATTCAGGTAGTTATGATCCGAGACGTGCGAATATCGAAAGAAACCAATATCTTTGGGTTATAAACATGTATTTCAAGTTTCATTAAAATCGGATCAAAATTGTGACCTCTAGAGGGTCCACAACTTTGATATACCAGATGCTATACACTTATCACGTACGAGGGGCGGCCATTTTGTCCGGCAGTTTTAGTCCGATTTTCATGCAATTCGAACTCAACCATCATTAGTGTGTAACAGTGATATACTAAAACGTTTTTTTAAATTGGATAAAAATTGTGACCTCTAGAGGGACCACAAGCTAAAAATGCGATTTTTCGTACAATCAGGGGTCATAATTCAGGAAGTTACAATCTAATCTGCGCATATATCGATATTTGGGTTATAAACACGCATTTCAAGTTTCATCAAAATTGGATCAAAATTGTGACCTCTAAAGTATCCACAAGCTAAAAACGTGATTTTTCGTACAATCAGGGGCCATAATTCATGAAGTTATGGTCCGATACATGCCAATATCAGAACGAAACGAGATCTATGGGAGATAGACCCATATTTCAAGTTTCGTCAAAATCGGATAAAAATTGTGACCTGTAGAGTGTCCACAAACAAATTGTGGATGGACGCCCGGACGGACGGAGCGACAACAATGTACATATATAAAATCCTGCTAAATAGACTCCACTGAGACCTACCTGTTCATTCAGTAAATGTGATCACATCAAGAGCTATTTTCTTTGCAATGAACTTCACAAGCAGTACGAAGTAGTTTGCATGTTCAAATAACAAAATATCTCTCAACTTGAAATCTTACCTGATAACTTTAGGTACACATTCTATTGTTGGTTTTTTCGATGTAAAAGGGGAAGCAACAGAAGCCTCTGCCTCTGATAAAGATATACCCGTATGAGCTGTCTTTAATGCACCACAATCATTAGCACCATCGCCACACATAGCTACATAATACCTGGCAATATAATATATAATAATATCATTATTACACATAGCTACATAATACCTGGTAATATAATATAATCACCAAGCACAGCTACATAATACTTGCTAATATAATAATATCATTACCACACAGTTACATAATACCTGATATATCATTATTTAGATAGTTACATATATAATACATGGTAATTTATTAACTACCATGAATAGCTACATAGTACTTGGTAGCATAGTGTTATCACATATAGCTACATAATACTGGGTAATATATCATTACCACACATAGCTACATAATTCCTGCTAATATATTATTACCGAGCAGAGCAACATAACACCTGGTAATGTAATATCATTACCACATACAGCTACATAATACCTGGTAATAATATGAGCATGTTTAAAGGATTTGGCGCAACAGTATATATATATGGACATATTATTATCATAATATCATTATCACGCATAATACCATTATCATCGTCACCATAAATTACAACCATATTCCTGAAGCAATGGCAAGGAGAAATACCAGCTCATTAACCACTACCTCACTATCACAATTATTTTTTCATTGGCTGAAAAGTTTGCTTATGGCATACCAAACATATTTACACAATCCAGCAGCAGCTTTTTTGAACTGTGGCATGAAAGTCTTTCAGATCATTCTGCAAAAAAATCAATATCTTAATCTGAATTTTGATAAGATCCTTCTTTGAGCTAGTAAAACAATAAGACAGACTTACAGACCATCAAACACCCCCGGCCATGGGTGGCAACAATGTACTCCCACATGAGATGTGGATATATAAAAACTAAACTTACCCTAGATTCTGGAGACCTTCAACTAGTTGAGCTTTTTGTTCTGGTGCCATTCTAGCAAAAACTGCTCCTCTCACTAGTATCTGAAATACATAATAGTTTTTAATCTGATGTGCACAATTCCACCTACTCTTCTTTGAATTTCACCTGCCAAAAGCACCTGTTACGTGTACTACCTGTTTATACACATCTAGAGATTCAAACCAGGTACTTTCAGGTTGCGGGAATAGTTTACTAACTGTATAACTACCATGACTTTTCTTTCCTTGTTTTGTGTTACAATGAAATACATGTTTTATATTTACCTTTTGAATAATATCTGGAAAATATTGTCTCAAAGCTGACCATGATTTACCCGTCAATGCAAAATGGAAGCGCTGGTTTTCTTCATCAATCTCGATCATTGTTCCTTTCTACAAAAACAAAATGATTAAAAGGTGTAACGGTTACTATCTGACAACACTCACTTTAAGGAAAGATTTATCATCATTTGTCTTTACCTACTGGTTGTACAAAGGATAAAGAATCAAATGTTAAATATTGTTGAAGATTGAATGAACTCCAAGACTGGAGAAATGTGAAAGATTGAAGCAAGTGGAGAAAGCTGTACAGAAATGGGCTGCTTTGAGAAACTACCCAATAGCTAGTAACTATATGATGACCTGAACAATATATATTGATATAAGTGTCTATATTTACTTGGGATTTGACCTCTACAACTTTCTTGGTACTGTCTCCAGCATAAACAAAGTCTATTTCTGGTGCTTTAAGATCTACTGGAGGATATGCTTGAACCAGTATAATACGATCACCTTGATCAACCATACCACATTCTTGTGCTACACTGAGAGCAGTTAACATATTGTCTCCTATAATATATATGATTGTCTTATTATTAATAAATATTACTTATAAAAACAAGAAATAAAAGAGCCACAAGAACATTACTTATTAACGTGTGTGCGTTAGAACATAAGAACTGTCATTGTGTCAAGAAGCATGGTTTCAATCACACAACTGCATGTGACAACTGCTAAGGGCCTTACCCGTAAGCGAATAATTGGAACATATGTTAGTCCGAAATCATCTAGTTTGCGGTGAATGAACTCTCACTCTCTGAAACTTGCTTTATACTAAAGTGTAAGCCCAGTCTAATGTGTTGGTTTTGTTATCTTTTCAGACTAGAAGTGGTATCAGGTGTTCTAGAAGTATAAGCATACCTTGCCCTATGCATGACACCAACCAATAGATATAGCTACCTGGAGTTATGATTTGGATCTGGATTTCAGAAGCAGAAGACTACTGAGTCATATGATCACCAGCCCAGTGGTTTAATTAAATGAAAAAGTACAAACAAATTTTGTTAGCAATAATTAACTAAGGCAATGTCTGGAACAAAGACATCCAAAAATGTTTGATTGATGGCAGTGGCTTAAATATGTATCCTATGTTTACACATTTGATCAAATTGATACAAACTATTTCCAGGATTTTTTAAAATAAAAGTATTAACCTGTAACCATGATGGTCCTAATCAGGGCATTTCTTAAATTTGCTATAACAGGTGCTGTCTCTGGTTTGATCTTATTCTCCATTATCAGCAGACCAAGGAAAGTTAACTCTGTTTCTACTAGATCTCTGTATGTAAACAACACAAATATAGAATCTCATGTTCTAACATAACTGATGATTGCACCAAAACAGACAAGTAGTTTAATGTAATTATAGGGAATATCATAGGTATTAATGATGAATATAACAAAGGGAAAGTCATAGATATTAATATTGACAAACCTGCCTATCCTCTGTACTTTAACATAGTTTAATTTAGAAGGAAGTTGTTTACATGCTACAGCTATTACTCTGTAACCATGCTGTGTATATTCTGTCAAAATCTCATGGAAATTTTCTGGTACTGATAAAAAGAGACAAGACATAAAAGTATAACTTGATAGCACGTACAAAATAACCATGTCATGTATATATCATATCTTAAAAATACAAATCTTTTACAATCAAATATTTAATTTTATTTCATTTTCAATAAAACAATTTAAGTCTTTAAGTTTACATATTAACATTTCACTATCTGAGATCATTAAAAACAACATTGACAAGAAGTTAAGGAACTACTACAATAACAGACAATGACAAAAAGAAATATTTTTTGAATAATTAGAAATATATGAGGAAAATGGATGATTGTTAGTCTGGAACTTCTCAAATTGACAGAATCGAGTGACTCAATAACTAAGATAGTGTGAGTAGTATAGAGTGGTACTTAAGCATAGTGTATATGTTTCAGCTATTTTGGTTGGTTGACATATTTTCTTACTCCTTTGATGCATGCGATGAAGACTTTCCACTAGATTGTAAATGCTTGTGGTATTGAGAGAATTCCGGAACATTTGCTCAAGTATCACTGAAGTGCTATTCCAATATCTTTACTCGGCTTGTAATTTTGTTTATAATGAGTACTCTCCCTTGAACTGACCTGTTTCTGGTAAAGATAAACTAGCAATCATCTCAGGAGAACCTTTGGCATACAACTCAAAATTACTACCACTTAAACTTCTCACAATAACCGACATTCTCTGTAAACTAGATGAAAATGGAAACTGTCTAACAACTCCAATATCTTCCCCCTGAAGCTATAAACAGATATACCATTTTACACAGGTTTCATAAATATATAGGCAAAGGCAATAAAAAGTATGCTTTTTTGGTCATGATTTGGAAAAATTCCCAACATCTTATTTTACAGGTCTCAAAGCCCAACCTCCCAGGATCAAAAATACATTTTGTTTAATTTTTGTTTATATGACAGTTTTGATAGAAGTCATTCAATATCGTTTTCTATTCTAAATTATTTTTGTCACTGTTAATTTATGATATAAATGTTATTTTACCTGTTCTGTTGAGCCAACAAGAAATGGAGATGTTCGAGGTTTAACAATTGTTGGTACCATCATGTCAAATCTTGATTCTTCTTGACCAGGTTCTTCTAATTTCTAACCAAAAACAACAATAATAACAATTACAATAAACAATAACAATGAAATAACTGATTTTATTTTGGGACTCACATGGCAATTTTTTCATGAGACACTTGACTAGAGCATAATCCATCCTGGGAGTGATAATTTGTCCTCTTAACTGTTTGATTTGGTGTTTAGATACAGTCAACAATGTAAATAATAATAAATAAGAAATAATACAGGTTTGATATTTAACAATATATACATTCACCTCAATTAATAACTTTCACTAATCAAATTTCAAAAAATTAATGGCCAGAAAAAAACTCACCCAGTCGATGGAATGAAACATTATTAAATCAAGTGGATCACCCATAATGGTTCCATCAATAATAGTCAGAGAATGACAGGTTGCCATGGCATTTAATAATCCTCCTCTTTCTAATTCTTTCATATTTTGTATTTCCGGTTCAAACCTGGAAAAACATCAACAACAATTTCTTAAATATTCTCATCATTTTCAAAAATTTGAGAATGAAAATACCTTCTGTCTGAAATATGGTCATCTCCACGAATAAAATACATTAAAGATGCATTATGTAACACTGAGTAACAGCTAAATCTTCCTATTGCAGGGTTTTTTTTTCTAGCTTCAATTGTTATATAATTCTTTTTTAGACAGTCAATCAATCCCATAATCAATCCCTAGACCTGGGATCAACAAACATGGCACATCGGATGATTAGAAGTGGCGCATTTCATCCCTGTGATTATAATGAAGTAAGTCCACTGAATATTTGTAGCGATTTTATTTTTTTTGCATGGCGTTTTTAGTAAATGTCATCTTCTTTCACATTAATCGATAATGAAATCATTCTGCAATCATCCCGCAAATGTTAACTACTTACAACGAGAGCATCGCTATTGCTGCAATATACGTCCACATTCCTGCTTTGATTGATATGGTTTTTTTTTTAATTGAAGAGAATGGAATATGAAATGGCTGTAATATGACAAGAGGCAAAGAAGGCTAGGCCAAAATTACAGACACAATATTAACAAAAGATAGGTTGCCAGGCAACAAAACATACGCCCACAGCAGCTAAATCGTCCGAGCAGTCGACAAGGGTTGTCGCATATTTATTCTCTTGTAGGTAATTAGAGGAATTTAATAGACAATTTCATACAGATGACATTATAATTTTCGTCGTTTGAGGGTTCACAAGGTTCTAAAAACTAAAACAAGGGCCGTAACAGGCTTTTTCGTTTTACTAATTCAAATAATGCATATAAATTTCATACAGATTGGATGATAACTTTTGTCGTTTGAACATTCACAAGGAACAACAAAGTGAAACAAGGGCCATAACTCACGGCGTAAATAAAAGGAAATTGCTGAAATTCAATAGGCTTCTTTGTTTCACTAATTTAAATGATGCATATCAATTTCAAACAGATCGGATGACAACTGTTGTCATTAGAGCGTTCACAAGATTCAACAAAGTGAAACAAGGGCCATAACTCTACATATAATTCAATAGGCGTCTTTGTTTTACTAATTTAAATGATGCATATAAGTTTCATACAGATCATTACTTTTGTTGTTAGAGCGTTCACAAGGTGCAACAAAGTGAAACAAGGGCCATAACTCCAGAAGAAATTAACGGAAGTTATTAAAATTAAATAGGCTTCTTCATCTCACTAATGCAAACAACATATATCAATTTCAAAACAATCAGATGATAAATATAGTCTGTAGAGTGTTCACAAGAAATTGTGGACTACGGACAAACCGACAGACGGACGGACGGGGGCGACGGCAATATACGACCACATTTCCATGTGGGCGTATAAAAAGTGGGTCGAGATATTTACTTATCCAGTCGACGCATGCGTTTTAGTCCGAAATACCCCTTTTCACTCGATTGTCACTATTTTTGAGATTGAGAGAATTCAATTCCGGAACGTTAAATCAAGTACCCCCAATATCTCAACCAACCATGCAGCCGAAACATATTCGTTGTGTTTAATTACGTCATGATTCTACTCACATCAGTCCGGACTGACAGAACTGCAACAGGACTGAATTCAGTGTCTCTCGACTGCAATTCTGTCAATTAGGGACATCTGGACTATGAATCGAGCTCCCCCGAGATGATCATTTAAGATTTGTGGCCTGTAGACACACACACACACACACACACACACACACACGGTGGCGACGGTAATTAATATACATCCACATTATGAATGTGGACGTATAAAAAGAAAACAGTGGGGGGGCGTATGTTGCATCTGGATTCGTGTGCGAACAAATTGACGCATAGAATGTGAAATGTTGGCCACCCCTGCTCTTGACCATTGGATAGCTGTGATTTTGAATGGATTAAAGGCTCAATACCACTCTTGTTGTAACTGAATAATATGTTCCAATCTTTATTCTGGTCAACAAATTGTACTATTTTAGAATATTTCAATTAATTGATGATAGAAAATTTCATCTTAACACACCTTATTTAAAATTTTTGAAAAATTCAACATAATGGTTTGAAACGTCTAACGTAAACCTTTCAAAATGAAATTTCGATTTAAAAATATTTTCGAACCATCTGGACAAGTAAAATAGGATGAAATGGATAATTTACACAACAGGTAGGACACTTAACCATCTAGTACTTAGATAGAGATATTATTTATTTTCTGGAGCTTTCAAGCCAGCAAGAGTGTTATTGTCTCTTTAAAACACATTCGTCATTTAATAATTTAATGTAAAAACTGATAATCAAGATTTTGTTTAATGTCTTGACAATCAAGACCGTATTGTTAAAACTTTAAACACTCATAACTTTGCTCAGATTAAAGTAATATGACTGAAAATTTCAATATATTCATTTTTCATTATCTATTTTTGAACTATTATAGCAAGTAAGGTCTCCTGGACAGTCTTCCCTGAACTAGGGGTGTGTGATATTTAGGGGAATAGTTTGACACAAGTATAGCTCATACAATGACCTAAGCTACAAAAAAATTCTGCTAAATATAGTTGCCATAATTTATAAAAATATTACTTATGCATAAATCGAAATTCGAAGATCCGCGGGGATTAATATCCACTTTGAACATATATAAGAAAGTTTTATTGACATTGATAACAGGGGCTACTGATTGCAAATGTGCACTGTTTTCAAACGTTTAACTGTTTAACATATGTTTGAAGACAACTGTTTATTGAGATATATTAATTACCGTCGTAATAGAACAATTAATATTGCAACAGATTTAACAATAAACCAGCAGCTGCCTTGCAGGATAGGCCCACATTTTGCAAGAGATGGATAGAGAACAAACTAAAAACAAACGTAACTTTTTGTACAATCAGGGGCAATAATCCAGAAAGTTATGGTCTGAAATGCGCAAATATCGGAACGAAATGAGATCTATGGGAGATAGACCCATATTTCAATTTTCATCAAAATCGGATAAAAATTGTGACCTTTAAAGGGTCAACAACCTTCGTATTGCATACTTTTACACAATTTGCGTACAAAGAGCTGACATTTTGTCGAGCAATTTCATTTCGATTTTCCCGAAATTTGAATTCAACATTCATTATGGTGGAATGGTGATATATTTAAACGGTTTTTAAAATCTGAACTCAATCAAAATTACGGTGTAACGGTGATATATTCAAACATTTTTTTAAATCAGATAATAATTGTGACCTCTAGAGGGATCACAAGCTAAAAATGTGATTTTTCGTACAATCAGGGGCCATAATTCAGGAAGTTATGATCCGATACGCGCGAATATCAAAAGAAACCAATATCTTTGGGTTATAAACATGCATTTCAAGTTTCATCAAAATTGAATCAAAATTGTGACCTCTAGAGGGTGCACAACTTTGATATACCATATGTTATACACTATCTGCGTACGAGGGGCGGCCATTTTGTCCGGCAGTTTTAGTCCGATTTTCATGCAATTCAAACTCAGCCAAAATTACTGTGTAACGGTGATATATTTGAACGTTTTTATAAATCGGATAATAATTGTGACGTCTAGAGGGACCTGAAGCTAAAAATGCGACTTTTCGTACAATCAGCGGCCATAATTCAGGAAGTTAGGATCCGATATACACAAATATCGAAAGGAAACAAGATCTTTGGGTTATAAACTTATATTTTAAGTTTCATCAAAATCAGAAGAAAATTGTCACCTCTAGCGGGTCCACAACCTTGATATACCATATTTTTACGATATTTGAGTACGAGGGGTGGCCATTTTGTCTGTCAGTTTTGGTTAGATTTTTACAAAATTCGAATTAAACCATCCTTAGGGTGTAACGGTAATATTTTCAAACAGTTTATGAAATTGGATAAAAATCATAACCTCTATAGTGTCCACAAGCTAAAAACGCGATGGGTTATAAACTTACATTTCAAGTTTCAACAAAATCGGATAAAAATTGTGACCTCTATAGGGTCCACAAGCTAAAAACGCGATTTTTCGAATAATCAGGGGCCATAATCCATGAAGTTACAGTTCAATACATGCCAATATCGAAAGGAACTGAGATCTTAGGGAGATAAACCTATATTTTAAGTTTCGTTGAAATGGGATAAGAATTGTGACCTGTAGAGTGTTCACAAACAATTGTTGACGGACGGACAGGGGCGACAACAATATACGTCTACCAATAAAATGTGGGCGTATAAAAATTAACAAGAGACAATGGTTTAACAGATTCATGATGTAATCAACACGCCGATGATTGACAACTTACGTTTGTCTAAAACATCAAAAAAAACCCATGAGATTAATAATTGTGTAGCTTATGCCCTTTTATGTCGTTTACAGGAAACGATACAGATAATATTCAGTTGTTTGGTAGAGCCTTTTAATAACCACGTTAATATTTTCTTCAGTATTATGAGTTGACCTACTTCAAATAATTATAAAATCATTGGCCAATATATCAAATATGCAAAAAATATTACAGATGGAAAACACATGTAAAAACATTTTTTTTGTAAACAATCAACATTGCACGGGATAATTGCATTGGAAATATTGCTGTTTGTGATGAGGTCATTATAATTCATCGAAATCTATCGTTTGTTACCATTTTAGACAATCAAAATTCAAGAAACGATGGAAACTTCTGGAAACAGTGTATAAAAATAACTGGATGGTTCTGGGGGGTTCTAGAAAAAGTTGGAAAGTTCCAAAGTTTCCTAAAACTATATAACCAGACTAGTCCGAGGGCAAAACCCTTCTCAGCAGAACTTTCTCAGCACTTCATGCAGAACTTTCCAGCACTTCATGCAGAAGTAAACGTTTGTCTATTTCACCCACAGGGTCTGTGCTCTCGATTTACTGACACTTCGTGCTGTTGCAAAGACTTGATCTCTCTGTTGTTATCCAAGTTTAGGATTACTGTTGTGGATTATGTCTGATTATACCGATTCAAGGAATATTTATCCTGTCAGACTGGGATCATCAAGATTCTGTGTAATTCTGTAGTCGTTCACGTCAAAACCTTGATTTATACAATATTTATTCAAATCGTCACACATTTCCATAGTTAAAGTACCCTCAAAAAATCATCTTGAGTCACACAGTGAGCTATCTATATTAAATACACTTGTCTGACTGGTTGTCCAACAGGTCGAAGGGAGATAACTTGTCTATTAACCATGGTATTATTTTATCTTTATCTTTATCTTTTACCTTTATTTGGGCATTATAATTTTAATTCATGCAATGGTTAACTGACCTTTGTTTTCGAACAGGTATTACTCCTCGCATTTCTAAACCATCTTCAGTTAAGGTTCCTGTCTGGAAATATAATTCATGTTTATTTTTTTAATAACTATGATTGACCTGAATTATTATATACCCATACTTTTATAAACAGGTCCAGTCACAGTCACATCTTCAACGTACCAAGGTTTTGGGTCAGTTGTCAACATTAGCTAACATGTTCCATCGCCCGTGCATAAGCGAGAGTTTTTATTTTTTTATGTGGTTGATTATCCAGAAAATTTCAACAAGTTAAGAAAGAGTTGCATCCTTCTCGAAATAAAGCCCATAATTCATACATTATTAAAAACAAACATGAATTGTGACGAAGAATTAGGATTAATAAAAAAAAAAATAGATATGGTCAATGAAGAGAGAAATTATACAATAACCAGCGGCTGCCAGGCAGGATACGTCCACATTTTTCAAGAGATGGATAGAGAACAAGCTAAACAAAAAGCAATTTTTCGTAACATCAAGAGCCATAATTCAGGAAGGCACGATCAGATATGTGCGAATATCGACAGGAACTAAGATCTTTGGGTTATAAACATGCATTTCAAGTTTCATTAAAATCGGATCAAAATTGTAACCTCTAGAGGGTCCACAACCTTGATATACCAGATGTTTACACTATTTGCATAGAGGGGCGGCCATTTTGTCTGGCAGTTTTACGTCTGATTTTTATGAAATTCGAACTCAACCATTCTTAGGGTGCAACAGTGATATATTCACGTTATTTTTCAATCGGATAAAAATTGTGACCTCTAGAGGGACCACACGCTAAAAATAGAAAGGAACCAAGATATTTGGGTTATAAACATGCATTCCAAATTTCATCAAAATCAGATGATAATTGTGACCTCCAGAGGATCCACAACCCTGATACACAATATTTTCACACTATTTGCGAACGATGGGTAGCCTTTTTGTCTGTCAGTTTCGGTCCGATTTTTATGAAATTCGAACTCAACCATTCTTAGGGTGCAACGGTGATATATTCACACGTTTTTTTCAATCGGATAAAAATTGTAACCTCTATGGGGTCCACAAGCTAAAAACGTACAATCAGGGGCCATAATTCAGGAATATGCGCGAATATCGAAAGGAACCGAGATTTGTGGGTTATAAACATACACTTCAAGTTTACACCAAATCTGATAAAAACTGTGACCTCTACAGTGTTCACAAGCTAAAAACGTGATTTTTCGTACAATCAGGGGCCATAATCCATGAAGTTACAGTCCGATACATGCCAATATTGAAAGGAACTGAGATCTTAGGGTGATAAACCTATATTTCAAGTTTCATTGAAATCGGATAAAAATTGTGACCTGTAGGGTGTTCACAAACAATTGTGGACGGACAGACAGGAGCGACTACAATATACGTCCACATGAAAATGTGTGCATATAAAAACGCGATTTTTCATACAATCAGGGGCCATAATCCATGAAGTTAGGTCCGATACATGCCAATATCGAAAGGAACCAAGATCTTAAGGAGATAAACCTATATTTCAAGTTTGTTGAAATCGGGCGATGACAATATACATCCACATGAAAATGTGGGTGTAGAAAAAATTAAGAATGTTGGATAATCAACTGGCAATGAAAATGGATTTTCAGAAATGGCAATTCTTAAATTAATTTCATTTCCGTCGACATCTAGTTTTAGGGCTAGTTACCTCCCTTAGATTTTGTTCCCGATAATGTAAAAGACTGGATAATCTAGCCAATGACCTTGTTATTCTCAAATGTTGACAACCCCCATCCAGATTAATATTTGTAGAATATTTGTCTGAATGATAGAGACTAGATATTTTAAGTCTTAATTCAAATTATGAATTTCTTTTTTAACTTTCTGACACATGGCTTTTTCAACTAAACATAATCTCAATAAATTTGTACAAATATCTTATGTAACTAACCTTGTCAAAGCAGACAGCATTTACAGCACCACTGATATTAATACAATTAGGACTAATACAGAAAATGGAAGACTTTTTAAGACGCATTTGAGCAAAGACAACTCCAACAGCAAGAGCAGCTGGTAAAGCAGGAGGTACAGTAATTGTTACTAAATCTAGACATCTTAAAATGATTTCCCCAACTTCATCTCCATCAATAATCTAAACAAAATGTAAAATATTTATAAGGCCATTTGAAAAATAAAATTCTGGTTCTTAGATACCACTGTCGCTTAATAAGAAAAGAAATGAAATGGGGTTTAACATCCTACCGTTCTACATCAACCGGACAAATTAAGACAGGCATACGCAATTCTATGAGGCAATTCTACTCAGAGGCGGTACAGTCTGCTCTTATTTCGAATTCCAAATGTCAGGGGTCCTTTTGATAGCACGCCAACATGTACACAAAACCTCAGGTTTTTACCCCTGCAGCTTGTTAAACTACCATATCTATTAATCATTTTCCACAGAAAGATAACCAGCGGCTGCCAGGCAGGATACACCCACATTTTCGAGAGATGGATAGAGAACAAGCTAACAAGAAAAAGATTTTTCCTACAATCAGGGGCCATACTTCAGGAAGTTACGGTCCGATATGCGCGAATATCGAAAGGAACCAAGATCTTTGGGTTATAAACTTACATTGCAAGTTTCAACAAAATCGGAAAAAAATTGTGACCTCTATAGTGTCCACAACCTTGATATACCATACTTTTACGTTATTTGAGAACGAACGGCGGCCATTTTGTCTGTCAATTTTGGGCCGATTTTCACGAAATTCGAACTCAGCCATCCTTAGGGTGTAACGGTGATATAATAATACGTTTTTTTAAATCGGATAAAAATTATGACCTCTATAGGGTCAACAAGCTAAAAACGCGATTTTTGGTACAATCAGGGGCCATAATTCAGGAAGTTACGGTCCGATATGCGTAAATATCGAAAGGAACCAAGATCTTTAGGTTATAACCATGCATTTCAAGTTTCATCAAAATCAAATTAAAATTGTGACCTCTATAGTGTCCACAACATTGATATACCATATTTTTACGCTATTTGAGAACGAACGGCGGCCATTTTGTCTGTCAATTTCGGGCCGATTTTCACGAAATTCAAACTCAGCTATCCTTAGGGTGTAACGGTGATATAATTGAATGTTTTTTTAAATCGGATAAAAATTATGACCTCTATAGGGTCCACAAGCTAAAAACACGATTTTTGGTACAATGAGGGGCCATAATTCAAGAAGTTACGGTCCGATGTGCACGAATATCGAAAGGAACCGAGATCTTTGGATTATCAACTTAGATTTCAAGTTTCAACAAAATTGGATAAAAATTGCGACCTCTATAGTGTCCACAACATTGATATACCATATTTTTACGCTATTTGAGAACGAACGGTGGCCATTTTGTCTGTCAATTTCGTGCCAATTTTCATGAAATTCGAACTCAGCCATCCTTAGGGTGTAACGGTGATATACTTGAACGGTTTTTTAAATCGGATAAAAATTATGACCTCTATAGGGTCCACAAGCTAAAAACACGATTTTTGGTACAATCAGGGGCCATAATTCAGGAAGTTACAGTCCGATATGCGCGAATATCGAAAGGAACCGAGATCTTTGGATTATCAACTTAGATTTCAAATTTCAACTAAATTGGATAAAAATTGTGACCTCTATAGTGTCCACAAGCTAAAAACGTGATTTTTCGTACAAACAGGGGCCATAATCCATGAAGTTTCGATCCGATACATGCCAATATCGAAAGGAACCGAGATCTTTTGGAGATAAACCTATATTTCAAGTTTCGTCAAAATCGGATAAGAATTGTGACCTGTAGAGTGTCCACAAACAAATTGTGGACGTCCAGACGGACAGGGGCGACGGCATAATACGTCCACATGAAAATGTGGGCGTATAAAAACACTAGAAACTATAAAATTAGGTTGTTTTATAAGGGAGGTAAACTCTTCCATTTACCGAGATTGTCTCCCCTTAAACAAAAAGATCCTACCATGTCAGGTTACTATTTCAATAGTTGCGACACTACCCTGCTAAATTACGGTTATCAACATGAAGAGATGTCAGATTGGTTGATTGTATATTTTTTATCTATTATTACATGTTAGTTATCCTCCAGTTGTTTCTATCAATGTTTTTAGATCAAAGCAGGTGAGATTTTCTTTATCAAATATGAATAAGATATGTTTTTGAGGGCAAACAGATAGACATCCCAATTATTCAAAGTTTCAGAAAGATATCCTGAATGGATACAGTCCAGAAACAAAATCGTTATCAACAGAGCCCATTGCAATATCCCTTACACATCAATTAAGGACAATGTAACAATGTAAATAAACTTACCATTAGTGTAAGTGTGTAGACAAATCCCATGAGCGCAATAAAAGCTAATATTCCGATAAATTTGTAGGTATCGCGATTAAACTTGAAGTCAACAGGTTTGGGATATAAAATAGCACGGACCAACTCGCCTTTTGCTGTAATAAAACCTGCAAGAACAAAGCATAAAAACATTCAATAATTCATCAATAAATAAATCAATGTGCATGATTTTCACTTTTTGACATTACAGTATTAGTCACTCCAAAAACACATTTGTGGACAAAAATGTATTTATTGTGTATGGTAAATGGCTATATGAGTGTCTGTGTATAAAGTTACCAATAGATTTCTGCATATTTTAAGTACACGGGGAAGGTCACTTTTCCTGTTAACCAATTTTAAGACAAATTAACATAATTTAATGATGGAAATAGCTTGTATTTTGTCAAAATGCAAGTTTGGTTTTTTTGTCAAAAACAACTTATTGCTGTCTTAAATGCCATATTTTTCCTTATGATAGGTTGCCTGGCAACGAAACATACGCCCACAGCAGCTAAATCATCCGAGCAGTCGACAAGGGTTGTTGCATATTTATTCTTTTGTAGGTAATTGGGGGCATTTACAATACAATTTCACACAGATCAGAAGTAATTTACAGAAAATTTTAGAATTTGATATATATTTCATACAGAACGGATGATAACTTTTGTCATTCGAACATTCACAAGGTTCACAAAGTAAAACAATGGCCATAACTCTAGAAATAATTGAAGGGAATTGCTGAAATTTAATAGACCTCTATTTCACAAATTTAAATGATGCATATAAATTTCATACATATCTGATGATAGCTTTCATCGATCGAGCATTAACACGGTTGAACAAAGTGAAACAAGGGCTGTAACTCAAGAAGTAATTATTGTAAATTTCTGAAATTCAATAGGCTTCGTAGTTTCACTAATCTAAATGATGCATATAAATTTCATACAGATCGGCTGATAACTTTTGGCGTTAGAAAATGAAATGGGGTTTAACATCCTACTGTTTTGCTCCGAACTGGGCTAATGAAGACGGGAATATGCCATACAGTGTGCTATGAGGGAAATTTTGCCCGGACAGCGGCACTACAGCCTATTCTTATATCGAATTGCAACTGTCAAGGGATCTTTTATGTACACGCCAATATGTACACGGGACCTCGGTTTTTGATCTCATCCGAATGACTAGACAAACTGTCCTTGTCAGGTTCAACAAAGTGAAACAAGGGCCATAACTCTAGACGTAATACACAGAAATTGCTCAAATTCAATAGGCTTCTTCGTTTCACTAATTTAAATAATGCATATACATTTCACAAAGATCGGATGATAATTTTTGGTGTTAGAGCGTTCACAAGGTTCAACAAGTGAAACAAGAGTCATAACTCTAGACGTAATATTCAATAGGATTCTTCTTTTTACTAATTTAAATGATGCATATAAATTTCATACAGATCGGCAGATAACTTTAGATGTTAGAACGTTCACAAGGAACAACAAGGTCCATAACTCTAGAAGTAATAAACGGAAATTGCTGAAATTCAATAGGATTCTTCTTTTTACTAATTTAAATGACGCATATTAATTTCATACAGATCGGCAGATAACTTTTGATGTTAAAGCGTTCACAAGGTGCAACAAAGTGAAACAAGGGCCATAACTCTAGATGTAATTAACAGGAATTGCTGAAATTCAATATGCTTTTTCCTTTCACTAATTCAAATATTGCATATAAATTTCATAAAGATCGGATATTAACTTTTGGCATTTGAGCATTCACAAGGTTCAACAAAGTGAAACAAGGGTCATAACTCTAGACATAATAAACGGAAATTATTGAAATTAAATAGGCTTCTTCATCTCACTAATATAAACAACATATATCAATTTTAAAACAATTGGATGATAACTTTTGGCATTAGAGTGTTCACAAGAAATTGTGGACGACAGACGGACGGACCGACCAACGGACGGACAGGGGAGACGGCAATATACGTTCATATTTCCATGTGGGTGTATAAAAATGACATATTTTGCCTTTGACATACTAATCCCATGACAAATAATAGCTTACCAGTTCTTAAAACAATAGCTCGTACTTTCTTGCAACCATAATAGCGAGTCTGTATGATTTGTGTACCACAGAATAAAACATGACGTGAGTGGGTTTTCATATCAAATAGAAGTTCTGGTTGACCAGGTAACTGAAGTGGATTAGGAAGTGGTGTTTTAGTTACTGGTACACTCTCACCTAGAATAATAAACAGCTACAAATAAACAACACTTTCACCTAGAATAATAAGCAGTTATAAGTAAACAACACTTACACCTAGAATAATAAACAATTGTAAACAAGCAACATTAAAATATAACAGAAATTACTTGCTATGTGGATCTCCCATATAGTTCAGAAATGGTATCAAAATGTAAGTTATTGAGTGCAAAATATATAAATCCGATGCGTATCTGATTTAAAATAATAGTTTCTATTATTTCAAGAATGTTTTAAATTGCTGCAAAACCATTCTAAAGTTAACACTATTAAGAGAAAACAACAAACTTTAACAATATATACCTGTTAACATGCTTTCATTTACTATACAATTTCCACTTAGTAAAACTGTATCACACTGCATCATACATCCATGTCTTGGTATTTCTATTATATCACCTGGTACAAGATCTTCTGATGGTACATCAACATACACTGTAATAATAACATATCATATAAAACATATTGATGGTAAAAACATATAATTAATAATCTTTCACAAAAATTAACAAAAACTAAAAAAAAACAAAAAAAAACCCATTATTTTTAAGCTGAAAGGATGGACAAAAATAATTGGTGGGACAGTTAGTTTGAGTGTGAATAGAAAAAGGTTTCCAAACTGGCAGATCCAGTAGTATCTGGATAATGATGTCTACCAGCTTGCTATAATGTAACATCTATCAGGTCACTCTTATTATCTCATGTATGTAACCTAGTAAACAAATATTGGTGTTCATTACTGAATGGTTCAATATTTTGAGATGGAAGTAAATAGACCATTGATTCGCATACTTAAAACCCATTAAATCTGGGACTTCTCATAAGCAGCACATCCAGTTGAATGTATTATTGATACATACCATCATTTCCTCTACATACTGTTACAATAGTTGAAGATGATATTGTGTTTCTTAGGGCCCTTTGCATCTACAAGAAATAAATATTGAAATTAAAATAAACATTGACTTTGAACTTTGACTATTTAGGAAAACATACATACCTACTACAATTTAGTATGCAGCAGTTTAAAGAACATTTGTGGTTTCGAGGTATTCACAGCTTGGCAATACACTATTTGAGGTGATTAGACATGATTTGACTATACAGTCACATTGGGGATGTTTAAATTTGATTGTAGGAAAATTATTAGACAAATCTGAGCACACATTTCAATGGTTTTCAACAAAAACTTGTTTAAAATGCTTTAAGGTTAGTGCTTGAATTTTGATGACAAGTCTTAGGTTATTATGGAAATGATATTATATGAAAGTAATTAGATTTATTTTGTTTTTTGTTTGTGAGAATGATAAGAAATATCGCTTCAATGGGTTATTCACATTTGATCAGATTTCATGTGTTATTTACTCTATGAAAATGTCTGTTTCAAGATGTGTGCAAACGATTATAAAGGTATTTGAATATATAAACATGTGAATGTCAAGTTTATAACAGCGTGATGTCATTTTGGGAATAATATATGTAAACAATATAAATGTAATACTAACTTTTCTGATTTGATAAATGGTGACAACGATTGAGAAGACTGATATAACTATGATACAAGTGGCATAAATATAATACTCATCAGCATACCATACACACATACTAAACGCTTGAAAGATATAAAACGGAGACAATACCTGAAAAATAAACATATTAATATCATACTTGAGATGGGAAATTTTTGATTTCCAACACTAATGAGGGCATTATTTATGTTATTACTGTCTTGGATATTGTTTTGCCAGACATGGTCAATAATGAGATTAAAGCTGCATAGGTAAGATTAGATAAAGAACTAACTGTTTTTGCTATAATAGTTTAAAAATAGATAATGAAAAGAGAATATAAAGAAAATTTCAAATGACTTCAGTCTAAGCCTAGATATCGGCAATACATTTATAGTCTAGCCTTGAGTGTCCTTACTACTGTTGTTACGAAAATAAACAAAGTCTCAATGATCCATTTTTACAGTAACCGCATCGATCACAAAACGCATATAAATCTACTTATATCACAGCCATCCAATGGCATCGAGAGTTGATTATTGTCTTGTTAAGTTAATTAAACATACATTATGCAAGAGCTAAATCTGTCTATTGCAGGTCTTTCTTTAGGCCTAAAATGTTATCTAAATTATCAATTAGACACTAATTAACCTATCCAGACCATAATCAACTCTAGATGGCATCGCTAGCCTGCGATCTTTGGTGGATTATGAGCCGATTTACTGCATAACTTTCCTTCATGATTTAACGATTAAATGGATAATCGAGACTATGCTGTTTACCGTACTGACTTTAGTAATGATGATCAAGGCTAGGTGGAAATTTCAATCGCTTAGTTCTCGGTTCATAGTGGATCAATTTGAATGAAATTTTCAGCAAATTGCCTTTACATTATCTAGTTTTTAACTTATATAGTGAGAACTGCCAACTCGTTATCGAATCTCCCATAATGTATCTTTAATGTCTAATTAATAATTTATGTAACATTTCAGGACTAATAAACGACCAGTCAATCAATGTCAATCAATTTCTAGTTTGTTTACTAACTTTACTCCATTTTTGACCTGTACAATCGACTATTGAATATGGTCTTAATATGTAAGTGTAAACAAATACCCACTTTGCAAAGCAATCAAAGCATCAAAGTTAACCAACATGACAATATTATTTATATCCTAATCAAAGAGATAATGTTGGTTTAACTATGATGGTGTTTGGTCTACATAACAATAAAAATTATTTGATTATTTATAAAATGCTGGGTAAATTTTATTAACATACAAATCACCACAAAATTAATATCTCCATATTTCAATAAATCTGTTTTCCAGTTCTTGAAATTTCTGTCCAAAACTACTGTGTGTATTTTTCATATTCCTAATCATAACAATTTAAAACAATACTATCAAAATATTGCCTATATCTATATTATACTAATTAAACATATACAATAATAAATGATCGTTTATAGCATTTATTGTGTCACAGTAGATTTACCACAACTTTACACATTTACATTAACCAGCGGCTGCCAGGCAGATACGCCCACATTTTGCAAGAGATGGATAGAGAACAAGCTAAACAAAAAGAGATTTTTCGTACAATCAAGGACCATAATTCAGGAACTTACGATCCGATATGTGCGAATATCAACAGGAAGCAAGATCTTTGGGTTATAAAGATATATTTCATCGGATTAAAATTGTGACTTCTTGAGGGTCCACAACCTTGATATACCATATATTTACACTATTTGCGTACAAGGGGCTGCCATTTGTCCGGCAGTTTTGGTCCCATTTTCACAAAATTCGAACTCAGCCGTTGTTACTAATGTTAGGGTTTAACGGTGATATATTCAAAAGTTTTTTGGGGTTTTTTTCAATCGGTTAAAAATTGTAATCTCTAGAGGAAGCACAAGCTAAAAACATGATTTTTCAAACACTCAAGGGACATAATCCAGGAAGTTACGATCCGATATGCACGAATATCAAAAAGGAGAGAGAGAGAGAAATGGGGTTTAACGTCCAACCGAAACAAACTAGGTCATTTTGGGACTAACACATGTGCGTACGGGTCTTTAGCAGCGGGATGAAACCGGAGGGCCCAGAGAAAACCCACTAGGTTGGACAGGCGACCCTATTCCCTGTCACGTACAACCGGGGAATCGAAACCCCGCCAGTTGAGTCAATAACAGACCTTATGATACAGCACGCACGTGCTAACCATTCGGCCATCGAGGAGCTGCCATTTTGTACGACAGTTTTGGTCCGATTTTCACGAAATTCGAACTCGACCATCATTAGGGTGTAACGGTGATATATTCAAGCGTTTTTTTTAAATCGGATAAAAATTGTTACTCTAGATGGACCACAAGCTAAAAACGTGATTTTTCCTACAATCAAGGGCCATAATTTAGGAAATTACGATCCGATATGCATGAATATCGAAAGGAACCAAGATCTTTTGGTTATAAACATTGATTTCAAGTTTTATCAAAATTAGATGAACATTGTGACCTGTATAGTGTCCACAAGCTAAAAATGTGATTATTCGTACAATCAGGGGCCATAATCCATGAAGTTATGGTCTGATTTATGCCAATATCGAAAGGAACCGAGATCTTTGGGAGATAGACCTATATTTTAAGTTTTGTCAAAATGGAATAAAAATTGTGACCTTTACAGTATCCACAAACAAATTCTGGACGGACGGGGCGACGACAATATACATCCACATGAAAATGTGGGCGTATAAAAAAATCTTTTGAAAATTAGGAAGCAGATTACAGTTTTTTTAGTGTCTAATTCTGAAATCCCCATATTTGCATGATAGTTTTGTCAGACTGTAAATAGCCAACAGTGAAGCTGATGTCCCCCGCCGAAATCCCAAAATAAATAGATGACACATATTAATAAATCGCACATTTAGTTTTTTCAAAAGTATTGAGCAATCAAACTACAAACTAAGTTTCATCACTCTCTATCAGATAGAATCAAGATTATCTTGTCCCAAAGCATCGACCAATGAAATTGATTAGCTCTGCTTAGCTTTAGCTTGAAATGTTAATCATTGAAATCAGTCAAGACATTCACCTAATGAACATATACATCAGGTTTAAAGATTCTACCTCAATTAAAAGCAGAGTTTTTATGTTCCAAAGTCTTGACCAATCAAATTGCTTATCGCTCCTTAGCCCAGGCAGAAAATTTGCACAATCGAACTTTGTCAAGGTAATGATATAATGAATCTATATTCAGAGTTTCATCACTCTCACTTAATCAAAACTAAAGTTATCATGCCCCTAAAGCATCAACCAATCAGATTGCTTATCTCTGCTTACCGTAAGCAGACAATGTTCATCATCAAACTCCATCACGGGATTCACCTAATGAATGCCTACACCAAGTTTGAACATTCTACCTCAATTAGAAGGAGAGTTATTGTGTTCCAAAGTCTTGACCAATCAAATTGCTTATCGCTCTGCGTACCCTCAGCAGAAATAGTTCATTATCGAACTTAGTCAAGGTATTGATCTAATAAAGCTATACACCAAGTGTCCTCACTCTCACTTAATTAGAACTAAAGTTATCGTGTCCCAAAGCATCAACCAATCAAATCGCTTATCTCTGCTTACCCTAAGCAGAAAATGCTCATCTTCGAACTCCATCAAGGCATTGACCCAATAAACACCTACACCAAGTATAAACATTTTAGCTCAATTAGAAGGCGAGTTATTGTGTTCCAAAATCTTGGCCAATCAAATTGCTTATCGCTCTGCTTACCCTGAGCAGAAAATGCTCACTATCGAACATAGTCAAGGTATTGATGTAATGAAACTATACACCAAGTTTCATCACTCTCACCTAATTAGAACTAAAGTTATCGTGTCCCAAAGCATCAACCAATCAAATTGCTTATCTCCACTTACCCTAAGCGGAAAATGCTCATCTTCGAACCCCTTCAAGGTATGACCTAATAAACAACTACACCAAGTTTGAACATTCTAGCTCAATTAGAAAGAGAGTTATTGTGTCCCAAAACGTGTGACGGACAGACAGACAGACGGACAAACCAATTTTAATAGTCCCCTGCTTTCTTCGAAAGGCGGGGGATAAAAAACAAACAATCAAGATATAAATGAGAAAACTTCCTTTTACAATCCAAGATTTATTCATACAGGTGTATATGTATGTTACAACTAAGCAAACTACCCTAACTTGATCATTTATAAATCACTAAAGATAAAAAGGTAAAAAAAAAGTATTTAGGAAATATAAACAAAGAATTTATTAAAACCAAACAATGTACCTTGAAATATGTGACATTATAAAAGTCTTGAGGAACAAGACTTAAGACATGTACTAGTCAGTGACATTTAAACACAAACATTGTTTCAACTAGTTGTCAAGTTTAATCCTAAGAAGTTTTATCTACCAAGCTCAACAAAAATATTTATCTGTCGTTCCACACGATCAACAAGCCAACAGTGAGGCTGATGTCCCCTGCCGAAATCCCAAAATAAATAGATGACACATATTAATTAATCGCACATTTATTTTTTTCAAAAGTATCAAGCAATCAAACTGATTATCAACTATACACTAAGTTTCATCACTCTCTATCAGATAGAATCAAAGTTATCTTGTACAATGCATCGACCAATGAAATTTCTTAGCTCTACTTATTAATATTAGCTTTAGCTCGAAATGTTAATCATTGAACTTAGTCAAGACATTCATCTAATGAACATATACATCAAGTTTAAACATTCTACCTTAATTAAAAGCAGAGTTATTATGTTCCAAAGTCTTGACCAATCAAATTGCTTATTGCTCCTTAGCCTAAGAAGAAAATTCTCATCATCGAACTTAGTCAAGGGTCAAGCTAATGATATAATGAATCTATACTCCGAGTTTCATCACTCTCACTTAATCAAAACCAAAGTTATCGTGCCCCAAAGCATCAACCAATCAGATTGCTTATCTCTGCTTACCGAAAGCAGACAATTTTTATCATCGAACTCCAACAAGGCATTCACCTAATGAATGCCTACACCAAGTTTGAACATTCTACCTCAATTAGAATGAGAGTTATTGCGTTCCAAAGTATCGACCAGTCAAATTGCTTAATGCTCAGCTTACCCTGAGCAGAAAAGGCTCACAATCGAACTTAGTCAAGGTATTGATGTGATGAAACTATAGCCTTCACCAAGTGTCCTCACTCTCACTTAATTAGAACTAATGTTATCGTGTCCCAAAGCATCAACCAATCTCTGCTTACCCTAAGCAGAAAATCCTCATCTTCGAACTCCATCAAAGCATTGACCTAATAAACACCCACACCAAATTTGAGCGTTATTGTGCCCCAAAAAGTGTGACGGACAGACAGACAGATGGACGGACGGAAGGACGGACGGACGAACCTATTTTAATACTCCCCTGCTTTCTTCGAAAGGCGGGGGACAATAATGATAAATAATATATAATAAGTATATAACTTTGCTTTATTTTTGAGAAAATGTCATGGTATTATAAAATATGTAATATCTTACTTGTTTAAATAATAGGACACAGATTGGTGTCACATGAACAGCTATAGAGTTCAGTCCATATAATACACGCCTGAAATTAATGCAAATATGTCCTGATAATATGAAAGACGTATAAAGCCTTATTATATTATACACAAAATATAAAATTTAGAAACAAATATATAAGGTAGTACATGCTTATCTCATTAATTCACCTCTGTGCAGGGCTCATATAGCAGAAAGTGAAAACCTACATGTCTAGATCTAGATAGGCCTTGAATTATAAGACTAATAATATAAAAAATTTCCAATGCATATATATCTACAGAGATCCCAGACGTTTCATCCCATCCTAATTCCAAACTGGCCCAACATGGATATATGGTATACATATAGCCACAGACTTCAAAAATTAAATAAATGTTCAATCAATTCAATGTTACCTGACTGAAATTCAAAACTTAACAAAACAATGTTAACAGGAAAGTACAGCAACTATATGTAATCAAATGATATTCTAATACATCCACCATTTTGAGACTGGTGTGGTCATTTCTATGGTTACATGAGGAATGTAAGGAGATTATTGCCACCGATCTGTACATGGGATATCAGTTTCTCATATAATCTGAACAAATACGACATACTACTTGTTTGCACTACCTCTGACAAATGGAAACGGGGCATAAAAATTCTAAAACATTTTTGTTGGGAGTCCTGTTCCTTAACCACACAATCACTGCAGCATTCCACTATTACAATAACTGTTTGATAATACCTTTTTATTTGATCATTAAGAGAGAGACCATTACATCGATGTAGATATGCACATGTACTTCCACTTTCAAGTCCGCTACAAAAGATAATATTATAAAGCAATTAAAGATACAAGCTGGGGAGCCTGAGGACATTTATTAGTATTATGGAAATCTTTTAATGAAGTAGTCTTGGTCTTAAGTTTATCAATTCTATATAACGATTCAGTTATCAAAATAATCAATTAATAGTTATAGATTTCAATAAAACCATTGATCGTCATCGTCATTTAAAGGATTTTGAATTCCTTTCAAACTAAAATATTACCCTCAGATGGCTTGAATACAGCTTGGATATAAACAGTCATCCATTTAATAATTAAATCAATACATGGCTGACCAAGCTAACATTTACTGTTCTTACTGTCGTCACTATCTAAGACTGCCAATGACAGGCCAGCTAAACGAGAATACTGTAGCCAATGAGAATGTTACTTGATAATCAAGAATATGTGGGTGGAGTTATCGTCTGTCAATCAAACGATCAGCAATTCTCGGAGACCCTGCGGAGACAGTTGATGCCTATTTCTAGTCCAAACTTCCAACAGTGACAACTTTGTACAGAATAAAGTAATTTGATTGAAATTTTCAATATTTTCTTTTTTTATCATCTATTTTTGAATTATTATAGAAAGAATGGCCAACTCTTTATTAAACTCTTAACTAATGTATCTTTAAAAGGAATATCATTCTAAAAATGGTTAGATTTCATTTAGTATTTACAAATAGTTGGGCATTCTCTGGAAAAGGATACAATCAACCCAGCTCCCTCAATAACTGTTGGACAGAATCTTTTGATGGGTTTCTTTTTAATCAGATTGAATCTAAAGCACCTAGTTCTGTTAATATATTATCTGTTAAACATGTTAAACAAGCCAACAGTGAGGCTAATGTCCCCCGCCGAAATCCCAAAATAAATAGATGACACATATTAAGTAATCGCACATTTATTTTTTTTCAAAGTATCAAGCAATCAAAATGATTATCAACTATACACTAAGTGTCATCACTCTCTATCAGAATCAAAGTTATCTTGTCCCAATGAAATTGCTTAGCTCTGCTTAGCTTTAGCTTGAAATGTTAATTATTGAAATCAGTCAAGACATTCATCTAATGAACATCTACATCAAGTTTAAACATTCTACCTCAATTAAAAGCAGAGTTGTACGTTCCAAAGTCTTGACCAATCAAATTGTTTATCACTCCTTAGCCTAAGCAGAAAATTCTCATTATCAAACTTAGTCATGGTAATGATTCACTCTAACTTATTTATAACCAAAGTTATCGTGCCCCAAAGCATCAAAAAATCAGATTGCTTATCTCTGCTTACAGTAAGCAGGCAATGTTTATCACCAAACTCCATCAAGGCATTCAACCAATGAACGTTTACACCAAGTTTGAACATTCTACCTCAATTAGAAGGAGAGTTATTGTGTTCCAAAGTCTCAACATAATAAATTGCTTAATGCTCTGTTTACCCTGAGCAGAAAATGCTCATTATCGAACTTAGTCAAGGTATTGATGTGATAAAACTATACACCAAGTTTCCTCCCTCTCACTTAATTTGAACTAAAGTTATTGCATCCCAAAGCATCAACCAATCAAATTGCTTATTTCTGCTTACCCTAAGCAGAAAAATTCTCATCTTTGAACTCCATCATGGTATTTACCTAATAAACATCTATGCCAAGTGTGAACATTCTAGCTAAATTAGAATGAGAATTATTGTGTTCCAAAGTCTCAACCAATCAAATTGCTTATCGCTCTGCTTAACCTGAGCAGAAATGCTCATTATCGAATGTAATCAAGGTATTGATGCAATAAAACTATACACCAAATTTCATCACTCTCACTTAATTAGAACTAAAGTTATCGTGTGCCAAAGCATCAACCAATCAAATTGCTTATCTCTGCTTACCCTAAGCAGAAAGTGCTCATCTTCGAACTCAATCAAAGCATTGACCTAATAAACACCTACACCAAGTTTGAACATTCTAGCACAATTAGAAGGAGAGTTATTGTGTCCCAAAAGGTGTGACGGATGGACGGTCAGGCAGACAGACTGATGGACGAACCCATTTTAATAGTGCCATGCTTTGACCAAATCAAATATTGTTGTCCAGAAAAAAATAAATAGCGATCAGTGGCTTTAATTGCAATCCAGTGTATAAGAGTATTTAATAATAGCTTATATTTACCGTAATTTAATAAATTCATTTCTTTCTCCATCCCAGATGTACTTAACTTTCATACTTATAAAGTAATGCATAAGATTTTCATCTTTCTAAAAACAATCAAAATTAATTACATTAAATTAAAAGAAAGGAATATCAGCCAAAAATGGTTCAATTCGGTTCAATATTTACAAAGATATGTCGAATTGAAATTTTGTCCCCATTTGGCATCTGCAGCAGATGATATATAGGATACTGTCAAAACAAGCCAGCATCACAGATGTGATTCTTGCTAAAATCATTTGATGGGCATCTTTTTAACCCGATCGAATCCATACCTGGGGATTATCTACCATTTATATTTTAATTTCTTAATTAAAAGTTAAATAATCAATTTGAGTACATTTTAAAGCGAAATAAGGTGTGAAAAGCATAGTATTTGGTATTTTAGATTTATAGTACAAGTAGAATAACCGATAAAAAACCTGATTAAAATAAACCTATAAAAATATTCTAACATTATTTCCTTTCAGTGGGTGAGATCAGCAACTTCCATTACAGTCAGATTTGTGTTATCTTACTGTTCTTAAGTAAATATAATATCTATACTTACACATCTATAGGCAGGGAAGGGATAGTTAGATGTATATACACTCTTCAAAAAAAGTAGGGGATATTGAAATGCAAATACCTATGCAGGTTGTGATATGATAAATAGTCATGGACACTTGACATGCTTTGAGAGTATGTTCACAGATGAAGAACTTATCGCCCCAACAGAACCACTGAGCTGCACGTGCGACATGCAATAGCGCCATACACGTGGGAGGGGTTCATTGTCAAATTTGACACTTCAAGGAAGGGTTGATGAAAACTGCCGCATGCTGGTTTATCCTATCCATATTTGCTTTCCTGTTGGTTTTTGCGTAAGATTTACTGTTTAGCGTATCTTTGCTTTAGTGTGTTACGTTTAATTTGATCAGGAGACGTGTTCGTCGACGTCAACGGACAACACTGCAAGAATTGGCCTTGGCTTGGCTCTGCTAGAGGAGTGGGTCAGATTGCCCCAAATCGTGATTGGACGGTTGATTAGGAGCATGACCCGATGAATTGCTGAATATCTGAGGATTGGTAGAGCAATTACTCATTATTAAGAAAAAAATCAAAAACGTCCATTTTCACTTCTGACAGTGTATCTCTTTGCGAGTGAAATGGGGCCGTCAGATAAGCCGCCTATATGAATTGTTTATGTTTATGTGTAGGCAATTGGCCTGTTATTAACATACACTGGTTACCTCTAATAAAAACAACAGTGCATTTCTGCAGTTTCGTATTGTTTCTGAATATCCCCTACTTTTTTTGAAGAGTATACATGTATATGTGTACCTACCAATGATTCTTGGTAAGTAATAACAGGCTGTGACTGACCTTTCTTATATAAATATTTAGTTTTGGTTGGTAGTAGACGAACCCTGAAATCATATTCAATTTAATTATAAATGTACATTACAACCATGCTACACTCAACTCAACACAATTGTATAACCACAAATCTAATACACATCAGATCAATTTTAAATATTACAAAGTGAATCAGAACATTTCCATATTTTTAACCTATTTAACAAGTTTTATGAAAATAATTGCTTGCAATTTAAAATCTAAGGGGGGTTTACATATTGTCAAATAACATATCTCAGACATTTAATAATCACCAAAGGATTACAGCGATTTTTTAAGTGATGCAGCCAAGTTTAAGCTCTAGTATGCTTCACTATATTTTTCACTTCATCCTCAAACTAGAATGGACTCCTTCCAAAGTAAAAGCATAAAATAAATGCAATATGGAATGAGTAAGTCAGTCTGATTATAAATTATATCCTTGTCCTGTTGAACATATGTGTTTGTGTTAATCACCATCTAATATAAAAAAAGGTGCATTTTTTACATTCCTTAACTCGGTTTCATATTACCGGTACATGATTTTATCAAATCAAAAATATCAAATTGTGCAAGAATGTCTTGCAATATATGTGCAAAATTTTATTTTGAAAGAGATTGGTATTTATTTTACCTTGTTCCATCTCTGGTAGCAGTTTCAACAGTTGACACAAAATACTGAGCATAATAATTCTGAAATGAGAAACAAATATTGAATATAATGTAACATACATTATATTTATCATGTGAAAAAAAACCAGCGGCTGCCAGGCAGGATACGCCCACATTTTCGCGAGATGGATAGAGAACAAGCTAAAAAGAAAGCGATTTTTCGTACAATCAGGGACCATAATTCAGGAAGTTACAGTCCGATATGCACAAATTTCAAGTTTCAACAAAATCGGATAAAAATTGTGACCTCTATAGGGTCCACAACCTTGATATACCATATTTTTACGCTAATTTTTACTTACATTTCAAGTTTCAACAAAATTGGATAAAAATTGTGACCTCTATAGTGTCCACAACCTTGATATACCATATTTTTACGCTATTTGAGAACGAACGGCGGCCATTTTGACTGTCAATTTTGGGGCGATTTTCACAAAATTCAAACTCAACTGTCCTTAGGGTGGAACGGTAATATAATAATAGGTTTTTTTAAATCGGATAAAAATTATGACCTCTAATGAGTCCTAAAACATGATTTTTCATACAATCAGGGGCCATAATTCAGGAAGTTACGGTCCGATATGGGCGAATATCGAAAGGATACCAAGATCTTTGGGTTATAAACTTACATTTCAAGTTTCAACAAAATCGGATAAAAATTGTGACCTCTATAATGTCCACAAGCTAAAAACGTGATTTTTCGTACAAACAGGGGCCATAATCCATGAAGTTTCGATCCGATACATGCCAATATCGAAAGCAGCCGAGATATTTTGGAGATAAACCTATATTTCAAGTTTCGTCAAAATCGGATAATAATTGTGACCTGTAGAGTGTCCACAAACAATTGTGGAGGGACGGACGGACAGGGGCGACGGCATAATACGTCCACATGAAAATGTGGGCGTATAAAAAAGACAAATGAGATAATTCTTTGACTAATTCACTTGTTTGTGTTTATTATGGCATACATACAACATCAAACGCAGAATGGAAAAAGAATTTGTTCATAAAAATTTGTCATGATATAATATTAATAATTTATTATGCTCAGCAGGCATACTATGTCATTCCGTTTTTATTTAAAATGACATTTATCAAACATTACAATATCAAGTATATCAGTCTTTATATTAGCTTTGCTTATAATTCTATAATCTAACCATTTAATTTATAAGCTTATAGAATATTAAAGTAATTAAAGGAACAGACACAGTGTAAAATTAATTGTATGTACAATTGTGGAAAGAGCTGTAAATCTCCGTCTTCAATCCCATATCTCGAAATATGAGTTGTTGGATAAGTTTCAGTCTGCTTACAGACCCCAACATGGCACTGAGACCATTGTGTTGAGGGTCCTCAACGACCTACAGTGTGCAGTGGATACAGGGAACGTAGCATCTTTGACTCTTTTGGATTTATCTGCAGCGTTCGACACTGTGGACCATCAGATTCTATACAATAGACTTAAAAATCAGTTTTGGATTTCCGGTACACCGCTTTTATGGATCACATGATATCTTAGTAATAGACATCAAACAGTTCTACTTGGTGAGGCTAAATCTCTACCGTTTAAACTTGACTGTGGCGTACCGCAAGGCAGTGTTTTAGGACCTATTTTCTTTGTTCTTTATACAACCGCTCTAGGGTCTGTGATCGATGGCTATGATCAGAGGCACTACTCTTACGCCGATGATACTCAACTCATTGGTGTGTCTAGTCCTATGCTAATCAGAAATGCCTTACAAAAAACTACTGACTGTTCGCTGGCAGTTAAACAGTGGATGAAAGCGAACAAACTAAAATTGAACGACGATAAAACAGAGGCTCTTTTAGTAGGTTCATCACAACAACTCAAGTTACTACCTGATCTTAAAATCACCATTGGTAATTCAGAAATAAATTTCTCCAAAAATGTTCGAAACCTTGGAGTGATATTTGATCCTTCTCTGACAATGGACGCTCAGGTTGATATGGTATGCCGTACATGCTACTATCATCTACGCTGTATATGCAACATCAGAAACTATCTCACTGCTGACGCTTGTAAACTACTTGTGAGATCACTTATTTTATCAAGGATTGATTATTGTAATAGTTTACTCTATGGAATCCCACAAGCATTTCTAGCCAAGATCCAAAAGGTTCTTAATACTGCAGCCCGAATAGTAACAAGGACACATAAGTTTGATCACATCCAGAATGTGCTGGCTTCTTTACATTGGTTACCTGCTGAGGCGCGAGTCAAATACAAAATACTAACATTAGTGTATAAATGTCGCAATAATGCAGCTCCTCAATACTTATCTGAACTCTTATATGACTACAACCCTATTAGATCACTTCGCTCTCAAAATAAACAGTCACTAGTTGTTCCAAGATATAATTTGAAGTCATATGGGTATAGGTCTTTCAGTTCAGCTGGTCCTAGATTATGGAACGCACTTCCACAACAGATCAAGAATCAACAAACTTTTAATCAATTTAAATCCGCACTAAAGACTTTCCTGTTTCAACAGTTTTACCAGTAGAGCCATTACAAAAAGCGTTTTGAGCATGTGTCAACATGGAGAAGACGCTATATAAAACTTCATTATTATTATTATTATTATTATTATTAATTGTCTGAAGAGTTTAGCCATTAAAGTCACTTAAGATCCATAGCCCACAATTTCTTTTGAACACTCTACAGAATACATTCATCATCTTAATTTTTTGTCATCACTTTCGTCCGTCATTTGATGATTGTTCAATGGTTTCCTGTATGTGTTTTTTATCAATCTCACAACTGAACTCACAAGAAATGTTCATTGGGTTAAGGGTAGAACTCTATTGAAACAAGCCAACAGTGAGGCTGATGTCCCCCACCGAAATTGCAAAATAAATAGATGACACATATTAATCAATCGCACATTTATTTTTTTCACTAAGTTTCATCACTTTCTATCAGATAGACTCAAGATTATCTTGTCCCAAAACATCGACAAATGAAATCGATTAGCTTGGCTTAGCTTCAGCTCGAAATGTTAATCATTGAACTCCGTCAAGACATTCACCTAATGAACATCTAAATCAAGTTTAAACATTCACCTAATAGACATTTGTTAATAAATACTGATCTTATAAACTATTTGAAGTACACAAGAAATTAAATAGATATATTGTAAAATATCTTTATAAAACTGTTCTGAATGTACTGACATCTGCTAAGCATTTAAGCAACACTCAAAATAGAAACAAACCTGGTATCTAACCAAAAAAATTATCAATAGCTCTTTTATTATATAGTTTATGATGATCTGGTGTCCAAACAAATCCAGATGTGTTCCCCCTTCCCTCTCACCTCCACTTTATACAAACATGATCAGTGCTTAAATGATAAAGCAAAATCTCTTTCTTTCCTTTATCTTAACAGCAAACTGAATGTTTCTAAATTTACATGAATTCAACCTATATTTACAAATTTCCAGCTGTTTTGAATTATTATGGAAGGCGATGCACATTTTATTTTTAGCCAACTTGAAGTTTAATCATGATCAATATCAGACAATGTTCTAATTAAATTTGATAAGAGATATTTGGGATTACATTTACTGAATAAAAAATAATTGATCCTTAACAGTACAATGTAATAGATTTTGACATTTTTTACTTTTATCAGTATCTCTGATTAACACTGTCAGTAAGTTCTGGGTGTCATCTTAAACATTGCACTATAGATCTTTCATCTGATTTCAAGTGGGTTCAATCCAATCATAAAACTGTCTGCTTAGCCTCATGTTTGAAAACTGACCTATGATCTGTGTTGAGTAATTATTAATCAATGTACAAGGTACATCGTAGTTTATTGATGAAAGCTACAAGAAACAGATTTTTAAAGCATGTGCGTAAATTCAAGGGACATTTGCATATTTGTTTATTTTTGATAGTCCCAGCGGTTGCCAGGCAAGATACTCCCACATTGTGCAAGAGATGGATAGAGAACAAGCTAAAAAATAAAGAAGATATATTTTGTACAATCAGGGGCTATATTCCAGGAAGTTATGGTCTGAGATGCGCGAATATCGAAATGGACTGAGGTATTTGGGATATAAAGATATATTCTAAGTTTCATTAAAATCAAATAAAAATTGTAACTTCTAGTGAGTCCACAACCTTGGTATTACATACTTTTATACTATTTGCGTACGAGGGCTTGCTTACGAGGGGTGGCCATTTTTTCTGGCAGTTTTTGAACGATTTTCACGAAATTCGAACTCAACTGTCATTAGGGTGTAACGGTGATATATTCGAACATTTTTTTAAATCAGATAATAATTGTGACCTCTAGAGGAACCACAAGCTAAAAAAAATTTTTTCGTACAATCAGGGGCCATAATTCAGGAAATTACGATCTGATATGTGCAAATATCAAAAGGATCCAAGATCTTTGGGTTATAAACAAGCATTTCAAGTTTCATCAAAATTAGATGAAAATTGTGACCTCTATAGAGTGTCCACAAGCTAAAAACTTGATTTTTCATACAATCAGGGGCCATAATCCATGAAGTTTTGATACGATACATGCTGATATCGAAAGGAACCGAGATCTTTTAGAGATAAACCTATATTTCAAGTTTCATCAAAATCGGATAAGAATTGTGACCTGTAGAGCGTCCACAAACAAATTGTCGACGTACGGACAGGGCCAACGACAATATGAAAATGTGGGCGTATTGAAAATTACAATCTTTGTCCATTTTTTTAAAAATCAAGTCCTACATAATGAAGACTAGCTTATGAGGGAAATATTGCCCAGGCAGCAGTGTTAGCACATACTTGAATTGAATTAAAGTTAATGACAGCAAATTAGTTTATTGCCTCTTCAAGTTATTATTGCTGCATTGTTAACATGAATGCTTTTATCATACTTCCTTTATCAATTACCAAATAATTTACTACAGCTAATTACAAAATAATTGACTTTATTAATTATAGCTAATGACAAAATAATTTACTTATAATAAAATTAAGACTTACCGTTAATAGTACTGCTTGAGCTTCAGACAAGGTGCATTTGTCATGTGTACATTGTAAAAAGATGTGAGGTAACCAGTAGAAGAATAATTTCAGCAGACCTAATGTCAGGATGATGAAGAACCATGTAATGATTTGCTTTAGTCTATTTAATTTGTAACCAGTTATTTCCTGTAAAAAAATATAAACTATCTTAATGAGAAATCAGAGACAAGTTTAAAAAACAAAACACTTGACATTTACAAATTAAAGAATTATTTTCTAATAAAGAACCACATCCAGTTCCACTTGGTAAAAAAACGTGCCAAATCCTTTCTAATTACCTCAATGAAATAAGCACAATGCATCAAATAAATAGTAAACATTCCAAAGTCACAAAAATCAAAGAATTCTACTTTTAAAATTATATTTTGAATCTGTTTAAACAAAACTATTCTATGTGTAAAATACACATTTCATCAAAATTGGATGAGGGTCCACAACCTTCGTATAACATACTTTTACACAATTTTGTCGGGAAGTTTCATTTTTGATTTTCCTGAAATTCAAATTTAACCTTCATCATGGTGGAATGGTGATATATTTAAACAATATGCGTGATTATCCAGAGGAACCAAGATCTTTCTGATATAATCATACATTTCAAGTTTTATCAAAATTGAATAAAAATTGTGACTTCTGGTATTACATAATTTTAGACTATTTGCGTACAAGGAGCGGCCATTTTGTCCAGCAGTTTCGGTTGGATTTTTACGAAATTTGAACTCAACCTTCACTCAGATGTAACGATGATATATTTAAACGGTGTATAAAATTAAATACAAATTGTGATTTCTAGAGGGTCCAAAAGTTTAAAAACTTTATTTTTTCGAACAATCAGGGGCCATCATCCAGGCAGTTACGTTCCGATATACATGATTATCGAGTGTTCGGACAGACAGGGGCATACAAAAATGTATAAATAAATGAATTGGGGTTTACCCTCCTACTTTTATGCACCAATTGGACTAATAAAAACAGTGATATGCCATTGCAGTGAGCTATATGAGAAAAAATTTGTGCAGACAGCGATACTACGGCCTACTCTTATTTTAAATTCGAAATGTCAAGGATACTTTTATGTACATTCCAATGTGTACATGGGACCTTGTTTTTCTTTACCATCTGAGTGATTAAGACTCTATACTTAGCAAGACCCTTCATCTTGACAAGGGGAAACCACGCTGGAATATCCCAGGAAACATAGATATGAGTCGATCATCGCTCACAACATATGTATCAGCAGTAAATTGAGTTATCGGCACATATCAGTATTTGCTGAACCCTGGATCTTCTGGTTAGTGCACCAGTGTCTTACTCACTGAGCCATCATGGCTCCATTAAATTAACACTACTCAGTGAGTACATGAAATGAAATGGGGTGTCCTAATTTTCTGTACCAACAAACTTAAAGATACATTATGGGAGATAAGATAAAGAGATGGCAGTTCTCGCTATAATAGTTAAAAACTAGATAGTGTAAAGGTAATTTGCTGAAAATTTCAGTGAAATTGATCCACTATAAGCCGAGAAAGAAACGGGTGAAATTTTTGCATAGTCTCGGTCATCATTACTAAAATCGTTAATATAAACAGCATAGTCTCGATTATCCACTTTTTCTGATTTAATTATCAATAGCCGTTAGCGGCATATAGGAATCTAATCCAGCCAACATCGAAGGCTAGCCTTGACATCGAGAGTTTATTATAAGTTAATCAATGTCTAATTGATAATTTAGATAACATTTCAGGCCTAAAGAAAGACTTGTAATAAGCATAATGCATGTTTAAGACTGTTATATGATTTTTTAAAATAGGATCTACATATTGACATTACATGTAGTTTGCACTTCGCACAAGTCTAAAATTATTTTTAACTAGCCTCTGCGCATTCGTAATGTGACCCCTAATATTTGAACAATATAAATTATATGCTGAATAAATAATTGTATAGCCAAATCTTATCGACCTTGTCAAATACACTGTGTCAATTATTTTTAGAATACATTAATAATAAAAGAGAATCATAATAGATAGTGAAAGCACTAGTGCATGTTCAAAAGAAACTAGACCAAGATACTAACAATAGAGAGAGAGAGAGAAATGGGGTTTAACGTCCACTCGACACAAACTAGGTCATTTCGGGACTAACGTATGGTTTAATTTTATTTACATAATTCGCTTGCGCGTAGGGGTCTTTAGCAGTGGGAGGAAACCGGAGGACCCGGAGAAAACCCACGAGGTTGGACAGGCGACCCTACTCCTTGCCACGTACAACCGGGGATTCGAAACCACGCCAGTCGACTCAATGACAGACTTTATGATACAGCGCGCGCACACTAACCATTCAGCCATCCAACCCCCCTACTAACAATAGCTCATCAGGCTTAATTAACTGTGACTGCCCATCAAAATGGGACTCAGTGTTTATGTACATATTATTAATTTAACAATATTCATTCTTTTAAAGATACATTATGTAAGATTTAGATAAACAGCTGACTGTTCTTGCTATAATAGATCAAAAATAGATAATGTAAAATGAAAATATTGAAAATTTCATTCAAATTACTTCATTCTGAGACAAGTTATCACTGTTCGTAGTTTTGACAAGATGTGTGTATTGTGATAACCAGAGCACTGGTAATTTCAAAACTTAGCCTCGCTTTCCAATGTTTAAATTAAATTTTTAAATGGAGAACCGTTCTAATCTAGTTAAAATCTTAAGTATCCAATGCCATCTAGAGTTAATTATGGTTTTGTTTTGTTAATAAATGTCTAATTAATATTTCATATAACATTTCGGGCCTCAAGAAAGACTTGCAAAGTTCAAGTTAATGCCCAGCATATTCCTGACTTTTAGTGCAGACATACATTGTTCAGAATGAAGTCTAGGAATCCTAATAGTACCGGTAATCAACATAGTGGTTATTTCAAGCACTTCAAGAAACAATATCACCAAAAGCAGGGGGAAATCTACCATGTGAAAATAAAATAATCCCCCACTATACCACTAAATATACACACCTCAAAACAATAGAAGTCAGTCCAGTGAGGTGTCAAAATACAGATAAAACTAAGATGATAACATTAAATTTATTCTTTTGAATGAATATATCTTGATTAAGAATGTGTTTGCGAGAGAACCATGCAGGGACCAGCACATGGTGGGTGACTGATTTTCACCATTTTTTTTATGTATGATAGGTAACCCCTCTGCAACAATTTTAGATCAATCGAACCATTTTTAGAGTGTAGAAAAAAATTTGAAATTTTAAAAAAAATCATCATTTTCAGGCCATTTGTAGTACTATCAGACTTCTTTCCTTGTTGTGTTTGTTTATTCATGATCGTAATATATAACACTACAGGTTAAATGATCCCTACAACTAAATGGAATGACTTTGAAGGTTCCTCGTTCTCAATAAATAATAGCTGTTTGGAATACCTGGGTGAGCTCTGACCAGTCTCGCTCAACACCCTCTTTTATAACCCCCTAAATTCTGCACGTCTTAGATTAGCCTTGACGTTAACTTCCATCCCAAATATGGAATAAACCTCTCCATTTCTCAAGAGCAGGGGGGGAGAACATTACCTTATTTGGTCTACCAACCGTAGGTCAATAAACATACAGAATTTGATGGCTATTTTGTCAATGGTTAGGATTTTACCAAAATATCACTGTTTTTTTATATATAAATTATATCATTCACATTCATTAAGTACGTGTGATTTGACTCTATAGAAAGAGTGAAGCAACAATTTTTCAAAGACCCAATATTGTCTTAAGGACCACTGTGCTACACATTTTTCAATTATGGAGTACAACTAAACTACAGCGAGTAGATTAATGAAACTTTATAGGGTAGCAGATATGGTTAGTGGGTATACATCTTATAGGGTAGCAGATATGGTTAGTGGGTATACATTTTAAAGGTTTGATGGACATTCATCGAGAGGTTTTTGGTATAGGGACTTAGTGCTGCAAGGTATCAAAATAGCTCAGTTTAGGTATGTCATTTTATTCTATCTATATCTCACCCCCTGTGGATATAAGAATTTTTTTGGAATGCTGACTGAAAAGGCAATGATCTATAGTGTTAAGATCAAGAAAAAAAATTGGGTGACACTCGACTGTATAGTAGCAAATAATCTCCATTTTTTGTCCAAAAATAACGATTTTCAACAAAAATGACGAAAAAAAAAAACCCGCTTTATTTACAAACTGAAAAGTGTAACAGGGCACTGGAAACCAAATTAACGTGGGTTCCAGTTCCATTAAGAACAAGCCATAATAGAAATAGAAGTAAACAAATAAATATAAACGCATTATATACTTTCATCAAAAAATTCACGTTTAAATAATGTTCCATTATCAAAATTACAAACACTTATTACCAATAAGTATTTCAAATTAAAAAATATCGCTATACTTTACTATCTACTATCTTAGTATCTATCTAATCATCTATCTATCTATCTATCTGTCTATCTACCGGTATCTATATGTCTAATAAGTATCTAATCATGAAAACTGAGCTCACAATTACACTGTTACGGTTTTGAAACAATGAAGTTTGAAAGGCAATATAATCTCATGATCTAGTAGAAGGACGATGAATTTTTGAACAGCAAATCGGAAAAACTAAATCATGTATTTTATACTAATATAGTAGTCATATACATCTGTCTATACTTGACAAACGAATCAAGTGATATTTTCCAAAAAGACAAAAACATGTGTTTCATTTTATTAGACCTAATCCCATTCAACATTGCCGTAATGAAAGCAATTTTCTGTTCCAAATTATGACTGGTCAATAGTCCAATTAACAATCAATACCGAACTGCGTAACAATATCATTCAGGTTTAAACAGACCTCCAAATATGTTTACATAAAGTTACATCATCATCATGATTCACGAAATTTATTACGCTCAATTAACCAGTGCATATAACATCGTTCGACTTTCAGGGAATGTAGCTCGTCGACACGTGTTCTCCCAATATCAGAAATGAATACAGATTCTTGGAATGGATCTTCAACACTTTATTTCAGGAGCAAATAATTAACAGCAACAATTTAACAACTTATAATTTCCTATGTATCGGACCTCCAACTAGTATATAGGTTCCCTAAGCTGGTCTCTCCAACTAATAATCATCTAACATACATTTGTTTATTTATACAAATCAGTTACTTAGAAAGTGTTGACATAAACATATAATTATTGAAGAATTAAGACTTAAGGCATTTAAAACAATAGTTAGATGAGACTTAACAGATCAACCACTTTAGTTGCCAGCCTGTCATAATTTGACTGACAGGTTAATTGCTGCCTGCCTCTAATGACTAACTAAGCATTAATGAAAATTAAAATATAGATTTGAAATTTAAAACAGAATTGAAAAATAATAAAATAACATATGACCTAGACATCGGTCATATATAGCAGAATATTACAGAAAAACTAATTGTGTGGCAAACGAGGCTATCAAAACCGCTACATGTAAACAATACTGTTTGCAGGCAAACAATACTTTCACCGTTTTTAATACCTTAAATCACTGTCCAAAGTTTTAGGGAAGGCCCCAGATTAAACAAAGGGCTGTTAAGTAGCTATTCCTAAAGTCTCTAACTCAATATCACCCAAAGTCTTACATATTGAAAACACAAATTGTTTTTCAATTCAAATCAACATTGATGTTGCTTCTGATATCCAATATTTAAGACAAAATAAACATTTTATACCATAGTGCGTTTCAGCATCGTTTGTAACAAGTGACCAGAAAGAACGAGGCTAGACATATTCCACAACTCATGTCAAACGGCGATGCCATAATGTATCTGGAGAGCCTACGCAATAGACTGGAATAACCAGACGCTAGAAATTTCTATTCGGTTGAGACTCGTGCCGTATTTCGCTGGACATAACTGATTTGAAATTAGAGTCAAAACGGAAATAACTGAATGTAAATCAGTGTATATACAATCAGATTACATTATCATATGCGTTGCAGTCCATTTGGCTCAATTTCTAGGTCCCAAATGTTAGCGATTTAGCTCTTTTAAGTTGAGATTTGATTGAACAGGAAGAATATAGACACACTCCCTCAAAAACTTAAGTATTAGAAGTGAATTCAGCAATGGCCAGAGAGGTATTTCTCGGGCCATTGCTTCAGGAATATGCTATTGTAGTTTCTTTTGGATAACAGGCTACTAAACCACATTTTATTTGTGGAAAAGCCGGGAAAATGAACAGCTGGAGTACAAATCTAACTTCAGCCAGATGAATAAGAATAATAATATATACATTTGTATAGCACACATACTCCATGTACAGAGGCATGTTCACTGCGCATATAATTAAATTAATTTAATTAATTCTGATAACAAGATGAGTTTTAAGTCTTGCTTTAAAACAAGAAAGAGTTTGAGATGATTTAATGATCTCTGGTAGATTGTTCCACAGTTCAGATGCATTTTAATTTCCACCTTGAGCAACACAATTGATGAAGGTATATTCGGCTATTCACACAATGATACGTCAAAGACAGACTTTTGGCAGCCAATGAAGTGATTTCAGAACAAGAGTAATAAGAGAGTATTTTGATGATCTGGTAACAATTCGAGCTGTGGTATTTTGTACAAGTTAATTTTTTTTTAATATTGGCACTAGATGTTTCTACTAACAAGCTGTTAATGTGACTGTCCATGCTTAAATTGGACCCTAATAGTAAGTGCAGGGGGACTGCACCACACATAATTTACACAAAAACAATTATATGGACAAGACACAATACGCAGAAAATCACAAACAAACGAACAATTCAAATAAAGTGAATGGATCCAGGGGCTAGCCGTTAACGTCCACTGCGCTGTATAGTCCTAGGCCAGTAGTGACACAGACTTCACTTATATTTGAAAACAATCAGGAATATAACCCAGAGAAATCATTGTGTAATGCCAGCATGAGTCATGATCTGCTATATGTTACAAGAAATATGAATGTAAGCATATTGAAGTAAAATTTAACTATACAAGTAACCACATCGGTGAAATGTATAAAAGTTAGGCTGCCAGGCAACGAAACATACGCCCACAGCAGCTAAATTGTTCGGGGCGGTCAACATGAGTTACCGCATATGGGTAAAACAACTTATCAGGAACGAAAACAGACTATCAAAATATCGACTGTCTGGCCATGCCATATTATGTTGCTGGATTCATTATTCAGTGCAAGATGCTAGTTTGCAACCCCATTAGACAACTGGATGCTGGTATTTCTTTGGAAATGTATCATAAATATTAATGATTCAGGTAGTTGGTTGGGAATAGAATTAAGGGTTGTAAAGGGGGACTTTTGTTGATCTTACAACTGAGAACAACTGACATTTTGACAACTTGGAACAACTGGCTTCAACTGAAAAATGTTGACCTGAGCGCCTCTTACAACTCAAAGCAACTACTGTAGTTCCAATCAGTTAAAGCCATTTGCCAATGTTAAACTTTCTGCAAATCACTTCAACTACCTGCAACTAGTCGCTGTCGACATGAGCACTCTTTTAACTGGTGTCTACTTATTTCCATGGAAATAACATCAAGTGATAAGAGACATGTGTCATGTGACTTTATAAACAAGCAAAATTGAAGCAAACAAAGGAATCCACTTTTCTAATGTTTATGATGTCAACAATAATGTATGATTAGAATTGTGACGAGACCAACCATGCCTTTGGGGCGCTTCTTCGAAGATATTCACCATTTTGTTGATCAGTCAAAAAAACACAAAAAAGAATCGTGATATATCGATTCTGTCTCTCGCAATTCAATACACGAATCATGAGAAAGTGAATCACGATACATTGATTCAACGATATATTGTGCCAGCACTGATTTTGATGTATTAAAACTACCATAACCATTGAACAGATGTATTATAATAATATCAATTACTACAAAATACAAATATTGGTTTTGTCGTGATATTTTACCATGGGAAATTTTAACAAAATATAACCCACCACCTGCTAAATCCCTTATCAAAATGCAATGATAATGAAAGCTCAAGGTCTCGCTTGACCTACTGGCTGAAGCAATAAATGACATGGCCTTGTTGATTTGCAAATATAAGCTGTCATCATCTTATCAGTCTCCACTATTTTAACTGACACATAAAATATATGTTAAATATAATTTATCTTATAATGAGCATTCTTTTGTTGGAGAAAGTATGCATATAAAACCCTGCATGAAAAACCTGCTAGAAATATCATCCAGTGAACAATAATGATGAGATTTATCCTTGTTTTATTTATGATAAAATAGGGTAAAATACTATAGGCCAACATGTACATGTACTTACCATTTGGTCCTCTTCTCCAGCATTCACATAATATTTATCTGGATCCATGGGAGGGGGGCCCGAAGTCCCAATTTTTAGCTCCGCATCTGTCAAGGTTAAAAAATATATTAAATTAATAGATCCACAAAACCAATTCATCAATTAAAAGCCCACGAACCCACAAGCAAATAATGAATTTTAATTCTGAATAATAATTACTCCCACTAGAAAATATATTTAATTAATAAATCCACTAAACCAAATCAACAATTAAAAGCCCATGTCCCACATGTAAACAATTATTAAACAAAAATTACTCCCACATTTCCAGCTCTGCTTCACTTTCATAACTATTCAGTGTTAATGACCTAGAGCGGATCAACTCATTTTCACAAATCATACTGATATTCAAATAAAACTAATTATATACACACAAACAAATCAAAAAATTAAACTTTCCTGTACAAGCATCAATTGTGTTTTTAAAAAAAAACCATTAAATACATGTCAAAAACTGACAAGACTGATTGTATTATGGTTTATTTGTCAATCTTACCTGCACGTCTTACTTTACTTGTTTTACAACCCATTACAATTATATACTTAGATATGATTCTGTTAACAATATGTCGAAAGAATAAACGTGTAGAACAAAAGATTATGTAAATTGGATATCAAAAACATCTATCACAACTTGAACGATTTTTTACTCCATGTGTATTATTTTCCTTTTTGTTCCACAAGGCTTAGTGTCGTTTAAATGAATTTTATGTACTACTCTACCTGTACACAACCACATTGTACAATGAAGGTATCAACCCTACAGTACAAATTCACTCAGGCTTGCAGTTGTTTAATGGACTGGTTCAAGGACACATTATACACTTTTCCCCAGGTAGGCTACATAATTTGAATGACCAACTTTGACAATCTTCCAAATATTTGATCAAATTTCTCTAAAATATTTCTTATCCTTTCTTTTTTACAGCATGTAGCCTACTTAAAGAGGTTTTAACCTCTAATTCGATGTTATAGTTTAAGTTTATAAAATTTGGGTTTGATCTGGGTTCTAAGGGGAACCAAGATCGGACTTTGGTATAGTGCTCGTTACTGCTGCACATCAGCATTCAAAGTCGCTTTACAATACATGTACACACAAATATTAAAGAACATAAAACATATACATCTAGTACACAATATAGGACAATGGCAGTTAAATCACGTTTAGCAGAGATTAATTTATTCCAGAAATGTATGCTTATAAAGATGGGGCCAGCTTGAATTCAGCTCATACTTTTACTGGTAGGATGTTGAGTTCTTTAAAGTGCAGCAGTTCAGCTGGAGTATTTAGATACACCAAGTATCATTTTGGCAGCCGTGTTTTGGACTCTTTGAAGAGGAAGTATATAAGGTAGAGGCTGTGAGATTGACATAGAGACAGTTACAATAGTCAATATGCGAAAACACTAGAGCATTTACTAGTTTGAGGCAGGCTAGCTTGTTTAGAAACGGTCTCAATTTTCTGAGATTAAATAATGCTAGGGCTGCATGTCGAGATTTGAGGGAGATATGAGATTTAAGGGTTACATTCTGATCAAAAGTAACCCCTAGCACTTTGAGACTATTCAAACGGGTCACCATGTTATCACTGACTTTCACTTTGGTTGTGAGGCAAATCGGCAGAAGGCAAGTGCTTCCACACATGATAAATTCCGATTTGTCATTCATCTTCAAGCGATTTTCTTGCATCCAACTTTTGACATTGTCCATAGCGGATGTAAGACAGGATAGAGTTGCTAGTTCAGCAGATGAGTCAGAAGCTTTCCAACTGGCATACACGTTATGGTCATCAGCATATCCTATTAGGTACAATATTGCAGTGTACTTGCATATAGCATGTAAACAGAACGGGACCATTTATGCTACACTGCGGCACAGAGAAATTGATGTTAATTACATCGGAGCAGGAGTCATGAAATATTGACTTCAAAGTTCCCGTCATTGAGATATGAAGCTATCCATTCTTTGGCCTTACTGCCAACACCAAAGGATGTTTCAAGAATGTCCAGGAGAAGCTGATGATGAACTGTGTCGAATGCGGTGCTTACATCAACAGCGATAACCGAAATTGTGGACAACGGACGGACGGGGTCGAGGGCTATAATATATGTCCAAATTCCATGTGAATCCAAATAAATATAAGAGAGAGGAATCCAAAACCATTTGAATAACATAAACTTAGATCGAGAGAGAGAAATGGGGTTTAACGTCCACTCGACACAAACTAGGTCATTTCGGGACTAACATATGGTTTAATTTTATTTACATAATTCGCTTGCGCGTAGGGGTCTTTAGCAGTGGGAGGAAACCGGAGGACCCAGAGAAAACCCACTAGGTTGGACAGGCGACCCTACTCCTTGCCACGTACAACCGGGGATTCGAAACCACGCCAGTCGACTCAATGACAGACTTTATGATACAGCGCGCGCACGCTAACCATTCAGCCATCCAACCCCCCTAAACTTAGATGGGATCCAAGTCATAATAAACTTGATACGGTGACACCAGTAGTAGGAGTGGTTAAAAACAAAGTCTTGGGTATCACAAAACCATCTTTATAGAATCTAACGTTTCGTAAGTGTAAAAACTTTAAATCTGTACTCTCTGAAGAAGTAAGTTTTTACACTTACAAAACGTAAGATTCTGTAAAGATGGCTTTGTGATACCACATTTCCATGAGGGCGTATAAAAATTAATCAGTCAGCTTTAAAATGTACACAAGTATAAGTAAGATGATTTGGGGTGAATTTAAATGATTTTTACAAATTTTTAAACAAAGATTTGATATTAAACGAATGTGAAAGAAATTAGTGCTAGACACACAAGATTAAATGATACCTGGGTTTTTTGTTTGATGAAAATACTTTTGTTATCTTTGGTTGGATTACATGTACAAGTTATGTTATACATTGGAGTGTACACATATTCCTTACAATTTCATTAAAAAGCTAATGGCTAATAAAACACAACGATGAACACCCAAAACTGTCCTCAATACTACTAAATACTAGAGCTGGGTGATATTCCTGGAAAATTTCCCGATATAATCACTATATTGCAATATTTTATGAAATGTCAACCATACATCATTGCCTTTTCAATCAGCAGTGGGTGAGATATAGATTTAAAATAAAATGATATACCTAAATTGAGCTATTTTGGTACCTTTCAGCACTAAGTCCCTATACCAAACTTTCAAAATATATGTTCACTAGTCACTACCCATATCTGCTACACTATAAAGTTTCATTAATCTACTCTCCGTAGTTTAGTTGTGCCCCTTAATTGAAAAATGGCGTGAAATTGACGATTTTGGGGCTTTTTTCAGTCTTAAAATTTCAAAGTGTTTTCTATACTCTAAAAATGCTTTGATTGATCTAATATTGTGCCAGTGGGTTTGCCAGGCAACGAAACATACGCCCACAGCAGCTAAGTCGTCCGAGCAGTCAAGAAGAGTTTCGCATATTTTTTCTAGTGTCGGTAATGAAACATTTATAAAACACTAAAATTTGATTAAGGTTAACAACTCATTAAGTAATTATCCGTAATCATAAGAAATTGTTTGGCTTTTAGTTCTGCCCCATGCTGACATTTAGTATACAAAACATTTAATATCATGGATTTAGCTGTTCAATATACTTGTTCGTCTCAAGACTTTTAACTCTGTTTATCAATCGGATGATAACTTTGGTCTCTAGAGCCATCCACAAGATTTTTCAAAGTGATCAAGGGTCATAACTCTGGTAGTAATCATCGGAAATCATTGAAAATCACTGGGCTTCTTTAATTCACGACCTTAAGATATTTAAAAGTGATCAAGGGCCATAACTCTGGCATTAATTATCGGATATCGTTGAAAATCAATAGGATTCTTGAGATTCTTCGTCTCATGACCTTAAACACTGTGTATAAATTTAACGTCAATCGGATATTAACTTTAGCCTTTAGAGCGTCCACAAAGATATTTCAAAGTGTTCAAGGGCCATAACTCTGGCAGTAATTATCGGATATCGTTGAAAATCAAAAGGATTCTTCGTCTCATGACCTTAAACACTGTGTATAAATTTAAAGTAAATCGGATGCCGAACGGACAGACGGACGGACCGATGTGGGCAACGACAATATACGACCACATTTCAATGTGGGCATATAAAAATGGTGAAAATCAGTCACCCACCATCCGGTCCCTGCTTGGTTCACTCGCAAATGCATTCTTAAGGCTTGAAATGTTATGTATACTATCAATTTATAGACTTTTATTAACATGACAAAACCAGAATCAACTCTCAATGTCATCGGATATCTCCGATATTAAGTAGATTAAAACAGTTCAGCTATATTTTGATTTAATCTAAAAATGGTGAAGCAAGGCTAAGCTTTAAATAACCAGTGCGGTGGATGCAATTAGTGCACACATATCTTAATATCTTAATTCGCTCGCAATGGAGCAATTTGAATGAAATTTTCAATAAATTCATTTTGCATTATCTATTTTCGAACTATTATAGTAAGAATGGCCAGCTCTTAATCTAAATCTTACATAATGTATCTTTGAGTTAAGCCTGTATTATCACAGGCCCATGACTGTAAAGCAGTGGACGGTATAGCACCTCGGGTCCACTGACTTGATTTGATATTTTTTGTTTATTTCTTGCAATAACTGTGCAGTTTGTCTTGTCGGTTTTGTTTCGCATAGAGCCATGCTCTAGCACTTACTAATATATTTAAAATATATGGTTTATATTCAAAATTATCCTAGACTCACCCTATATGACATATCAACAAAGGATAGTAAAAGCTATCCTAACATACAGGGCTGCCGACAACCAGTATCGCAGTGCAATTTGCGATACATATTTTGTCCGTTGCTAATCAAAAATTAAAATCTAAAGTTTTTGATTCGCAGTAACTGCGAATCATTAATATGCCTGTCATTTTGGATATTGACACAAGGATAATCCACATTTGAAGACTAGAAAGCTTTCTCAACAATTTCAACGAGTATAAAATGTTGAATAAAATTTTATAAACAAAACTGAATTCTCCGTGTGACATTTTCTTCTCGAACTACCCAGACACAATTCATTATACGGTACTATATAATACAGGGACATAACTCTATGAATAGGGACTATTAAACCGGAAACAGGGAATCAAGTAGTACCACTCACGTTGCGAGACATCAAGTAATTATATGATATTTTGAAAGAAATAAATCCAGTGTATCCTCTACGTATTGTAAATAAAATATAAAAAAATAAATGTTAACGTATTGTAAAATGATAAATCAAAGTAAAAATTCCCGTAAAATATCACGTGTGTCTAGTCAATCGAGGTGCGCCCGATTGAACAAGAAAGGCAATACACGATAAAAAGCAGACGAAATTGTTTTCTAACGAAGATTTCTAACGTACAAAAAATAACAATTAAAATGATTGGGGCTTCGGAAGTCACTGTTTAGAATTGGCTTCAGACATAAGACCTAACTAAATGTCTACATCACATTCACAAACTGTCACAAGTACTTGTGGCAGTCCTAAAAAAATCTAAGATTAGTAAGAATGGAATCTAATCATATTTATTATGAACTAAAGTAATATCTTGTTATTTAGGTGTTTTATGTTGAAACTGAAAAACTGCTAATCAATTTTTAAATTTGCTAATCAAATTTGGCAAAATTGGACTTTTTGATTAGCAGTGCTGCTAATCAACCGTGAAAAATTACCGACAGCCCTGCTAACATAGGCCCCTATATAAGGTCATGTTTATTATAATACAATCTAAGAAAACAAGACATAAAGAAAGATTCTGTGAATTACAAAAGACTGGTTTCAACAGAGGGCATGAGTAGATAAAAGAAACCTTATCTCTCAACCCTATATAAATACTAATAAATCCACCTGGCAAATTCTGATGCAGATCAGACTGGGCTTTCAATAAGCAAACCCACCAATTTTTTCTTCAAAACAACGACTGATTATTGTTATTCATAACATTTCTGACACATATTAACTACTAACCATATATAATCCTACCCGACACGGGTACAAACCAACTCTTTTAAATCAAAGCAATAATCGCTAGCTTTACCCGGCAGTTAACATTTGACATTTTTGTGTCATGAAGATGGGGCTAATTTTTATGTCGTGTACAATAGACAATCATAGTACTAACGTGATATGAGTTGTGCAAGATTAATCATGTAATTCACCGTAATTATGTATGTATGTCTGTATCAATTTTAATAAAAACAAAACTTAATTCACTTTATTGACAATATTTGCAGATGAACGAAATTTGTTTCACTAGATTGGGCTGCATTTGTTTAATAAGTCCTATTATAATAGTATGAACTTAACTTATGTAAGATGTTACATCACATGCAGTGGAATAAAGTTTGCCAGGTGAAACTAAAGGCACCCAATCGTAGCTAAAAACAAACACATCAGTACATCTCAACATTTTTAGCTAGGTTCTCGTAGCTTATAAGTCTATGATGTGGTCACTGGCTTGTTTACATTATTATAACTACGGTATAGTAGTAGTCTATAAATAGCCTACTATAGGCCTATTAATTATGAAGAAAACTATGAATGACAAGAGAAAACTGATTTATTATATAGCCTAGAATTTATGATGAGAATATTCGATTCTGAAATAGATTTTAATCAACCAGTTTAGTCGTAAGAAATGAGTAAATTGAAATCTCCCATTGAAAAAGTAGATTGCTCTCTGGATCATGATGAATGATTCCACTATTATTATTAATATTATTATAGGCCCTATAGATAATACTATGGTCAAATGTCGCTAGTTTGATCTCGTTTAATCTGTGTTTAAAACAAAGTGTGAACCAAACAACACATTAAACCCAACAGAGTATATACCTACCCATCTCGTCGGGGTTATCCAAGGAATGCATCTTTCCTCTCTCAGTAACCTATGTCAGCTAATACAATCCGCCATGCTTGTTCTTTGGATTGAGAAGTTATTTATAGTAACGGCACACGTGACTATTGACTGACTTCATTCCCAAAAACATTAGAGAGAGAGAAAGAGAGAGAGATGGGGTTTAACGTCCAATCGGCACAACTAGGTCATTTCGGGACTTACATATGGTTCAATTTTATTTCAATAATTCGCTTGCGCGTAGGGGTTTTAGCAGTGGGAGGACCGGGAGAAACCCCACGAAGTTGGACAGGCGACCCTTGCCCCTTATGAAAAAGTCCTATAGAAAAAGTACAGGTTTCTATAGAAGTTTGTGGGATTCTATAGAATGCTATAGAATACTGCAGGAAAACGAATTCATTCTGTATTTTTGATTACATGACTATAGATTCAAAAACATGTACTATAGTTTTGTGTAGGATTGGTAGATGAATATTTTCCAAGTGTAATTTCCTATAGAATTCTATAAAATACTGTAAGAAACTATTGGAAAAAAAAATAAACCTACAGATTCATTGGTGCTGCTATAGTTTTCTATAGAACTAAATTGTATCCTCGAGTCAGTTGAGTAATCCTTCAGTTTTCTATAGCCTTTGTGCTAAAAACTACCGAATACTACAGTATTCATTCCTATACATAACTATAGAATTTCCTACAGAAAATGCAATAAATTTTGCCATAAATCTGTAGGAAAAACTATAGGATGTGCGCTACAGAAACTGTAGAATATTTGGGGCCGTTATTTCCTACAGGCCCCCAAAATTCTGTAGAATATTATAAAATTTTATCCTATAGAAAATGGGACACGCCCACCCCCCCACCCCCAAAAAAGCTCTATAGATTTTCTATAGAATTCTACACTGGTATCAGGCGCGGATCCAGGATTTTTCGCAGAGGGGGGGGGGGGCTAGGTTGGATAATTGCTTAACTAATTGCGAAGGCGCTAAACGTTGTAACGGGGGGTCTGGGGTTCTCCCCTAGAAAAATTTGGTAAATTAGATTCAATTTGGTGCATTCTGACGTATTTCCGGAAGGTAAATTCCAAAATTACAGGTCTAAAAATCGCCAATAAAATCGCATAAAATATGTCTTTAAAATGTTGATGGGGAATGCTCCCTTCACAGGTGAGGATTGATGATGAATTTAATTTAGTTTATTGTTAATCTCTAATTACCCGATTTTAAACACAAGTGGTGTTACGTCTCACGCAGCAATTGTTTTAAATGCGCGTATAAAAAAGTCTTACGAATGACGACCTGTCGGAAGTATTTTACCTGCACTCTCGATCGCTGTAGTAGGCCTACCTTCCAGTGTTTCGCGGTAAGGGCATGTTCCAAGTTCACCTAATAAGACATTCTCTTCAGGTATAATAATACATGTAATGATAATAATAATAATAATTGAATAATAATAATAATAATAAAACATAAGCGGTGAATATGTTATGTATCAAATTTTTAAAAAAATCTTCTAAATTCCGCGAGCATATTTTTTTAATTTTTTTTTAATAAAATAAATGATCAGGGGTTTTTTCTTATCAACGCTGCCGATAAAATTAAAAAGCAAACACAACAACTCAATGTATACAAACTCGCAATTTTTGGGTCAGATTCAGGCTTTTAGATTTAAGTTTCTCGGACCCTTCAAATTTTCAAGTCTGAGCAGGGGGGGGCGGACCCCCTGGACCCCCCCCCCCTGGATCCGCGCCTGGGTATTCTGTAGGACTTTTTGCTAAGCTTGTCACTATATATGACTAACACCGGGGAATCGCAACCAGTTTAAATGACAGACCTTATGACACAGCGCGCACGCGCTAACCACTCGAAAATCCCCGATTCCTCCCAACAAAACTTTAAATTTATTTTAAATGTATAACACTAGCGACCGGCGCCACAGAGGTCTCAGACGTACGCACAGCTATATGGACGATTTTCAACCCCACTCTATCTGTTTTTGGGTCATATTTTCGCCGAGCTAGTACAGACCTTTCTGGCGGAATTTGGGTCGGAAACCGAGTGATTCTCTTACAGAGCATCAAGGGTGTCTGAAAAAAATGGTTAACGGCGGTTGACATGCGGTAAGTAGTCTAATTGGCTTTTACTTTTCATAAATTGTTGAAGTTTTCTTTTTTATTGAAATTGTCTGATACGCGCTGATACGCTCAAAGTTTTACTTACAATTATGAAAATAAACACTAAATCAATGATCTAAAATATTGCTGAGGATGGAAACCCCCGTGGAAAGTGGCAATTCCTGAAAATCGGCACCGTGTCGGATTCCAAAGGGACGCAACTCCATCACAATACGGGTACAGACCACAGTTAATACCTCAGCTGACTATGACAAAAGAAAATGTTGTATGTCGTTCAGTGTGTATTATAAGTGTAATTTAAAATGCAGATGCAGTTTTTGAAAATTGAATTAATACAATCCATTATAGTTGACAGTATTTAGTTTTCCATTATGTTTGGGAAGAAAATATAAGTACCGGCTGCATAAAGGTTTTAATTTAATTTTACAGGATTGTGTATGTATGTACGGTGGCTGATAAGGGACATGAAAAATAATATAATTTGTTTTTTATAATTTTCACCCAAGTCAATTTTAATATAATTTGGGTTTTTTTTTTATAATTTTCACCCAAGTCAATTTTAATATAATTTGTGTTTTTATAATTTTCACCCAAGTCAATTTTAATTTCCACCCAAGACAATTTTAATTTCCACCCAAGTCAATTTTAATATAATTTGTTTTTTATAATTTCACTAAAGTCAATTTTAATATAATTTGTTTTTTATAATTTTCACCCAAGTCAATTTTAATATAATTTGATTTTTATAATTTTCACCCAAGAATTTCCACCCAGCGCGTGACGTCATCTCAATTAGTCTCGTTTCCATTGTAATGTATTATGTTTTATCTTATATGGTTCTCATACTGTAATTAGCAGATTGCAATGTATTATGTTTTACCTTATATCAAATAGATATTTTTATACGCCCACATTTTCATATGGACGTATATTGTCGTCACCCCTGTCCGTCCGGACGTCCATCCATAATTTGTTTGTGGACACTATACAGGTCACAATTCTTATCCGATTTTGACGAGACTTGAAATATAGGTTTATCCCCAAAAGATCTAGGTTCCTTTCGATATTGGCATGTATCGGATTGAAACTTCATGAATTATGGCCCCTGGTTGTACGAAAAGTCACTTTTTATTAGCGTGTGGACACTCTAGAGGTCACAATTATCATCTGGTTTCTTTCGATATTCGCGCTTATCGGATCTTAACTTTCTGAATTACGACCCTTGATTGTACGAAAAATCTCGTTTTTAGCTTGTGGTCCCTCTAGAGGTCACAATCTGTATCCGATTTAAAAAAAAAAAACGTTTGAATATATCACCGTTACGCCCTAATGATGATTGAGTTCGAATTTTCTGATCGAAACTGCCGGACAAAATGGTCGCCCCTCGTACGCAAACTTTGAGAGAGAGAGAGAGAGAGAGAGAGAGAGAGAGAGAGAGAGTTTAACGTCAACTCGACACAAACTAGGTCATTAGTGTTTTGGAAACGAGGCTAATTGAGATGACGTCACGCGCTGGGTGGAAATTCTTGGGTGAAAATTATAAAAATCAAATGATATTACAATTGACTTGGGTGAAAATTATAAAAAAAACAAATTATATTAAAATTGACTTGGGTGAAAATTATAAAAAACAAATTATATTAAAATTGACTTGGGTGAAAATTACAAAAAACTAATTATATTAAAATTGACTTGGGTGAAAATTAAAATTGACTTGGGTGAAAATTAAAAATAAAACAAATTATATTATTTTTCATGTCCCTTATCAGCCACCGTATGCAATGTAGATGATTAATACCTACATTCAAGTTAAGAAATTTCATATGACGTCATGAACATATGACGTCAAGTGTACAAAGACGCCATCTTGGGTCCCAAGTATTTGTAGTACCTACTCACTTTCTATTTTATGTCCTATCATACTGTTGTGTCGAAGTTGGCTGCCAATGACAGGGATGTAGATGGATATCTCATAGAATTCCGCGAAAAAGAGATAAAATATACATTTTTTAAACGAAAAGTATAGCTGAACAAACTATTATTATTATTATTATACAACAAAAAGGGCACATTATTGTTATAATAATATAGTCCAATTCATAAGAAAATGAAATGAAAGATACACCAGATAAAAGCGCTATTAAATATATTTAACTTGCATACGCTTTTAAAAATCAGATTTTTTGTGCAGACGGGTAAGGTGAAAAATTATTAAAATTTAAATTATATAGTAATTTGGAAGATAAAACCTTTTTGCCTTCTAGCCGGCAAAATAAATGCCTGAAATTCCATTATTTTTTGGTGTGGAGCCATTCCGGATTGGGTCATCAATCATTAATTGTATCATCAATTTTTCGAAAATAGAAATTTCTTTAAATTGACTAGATAAAACATTTAAAATCAGTGTAACTTAAAATCAGTGTAATTTAAAGGAGCTAAATCGCTTATATTTGGGACCTAAAAATTGACACAAATGGGTCGCAACGCATATAATAATGTAATATGAATGTATATAAATTGATTTACGTTCAATCGTTTCCGTTTTTACTCTTAATTTCAAGTCAGTTATGTTCGGCGAAATAATCCAGAGGTCTCAATCGAATTGCAGTCACTAGCATCTGGTTATTCCAGTCTACACCGATAGTATTTATTGCGCATGCTCTTCAGATAAGAATATGGCGTCACCGTTTGACATGACTCGTGGAATATGTCTAGCTTCGTTTTTTGAGTCCCTTGTTACAAATGGCACCGAAACGCATTATGGTACACGATTCGTGTACCAAAGGTAAAATGTTAACTTTGTCTTAAATATTGGATATCAGAAGCCCATCTTTTCCCGGTAAGATCACAACATCATTGTTGATTAAAATTGACAAATAATTCGTGTTTTCATTAACTGATCATATGCACAACGTGAAGTCAAAGGAAGTCCT